ATATATTTAAAAAAAATTAAAAAAAACATATTATGTAATGTTTGTAATTAATTGACTATCGATAATAGTACCATAATATAACAAATTAATATCATTATGTTATATCATAAATTATTACGTTGTTATTATTTTATTGACATTGCTATATAATACATAAATAGTAATAAATGATATACACTAAATTGTAGGGCTATTAATTTATTCTTATTTATACTCTTTAGATTTAGAATTATGGCATCATGTTGATGATATAAACATAATGCAGAATTGTTTTATTATTATTTATGATATACGCATGGTGGTGCTATATATATTGCTACTATTATCATGATACACGCATAATGCAGAAGTAGGAAATGACATAATGCGGAATTATGGTACGATGAATATGTTATTATTATCATGATATAAACATGATGCATTTGTTATTATTATCATGATATAAACATAATTCAGAATTATTGTACTGTGTATTTTTATTTTATTATCATGATATACATTGTACAATTATGGTACTGTGTATTTTTATTTTATTATCATGATATACATTGTACAATTATGGTACTATGTATTTTTAGAATATTATCATGACATTATGCACAATTATGGTACAATGTAATCGATTATGATCATGTCATAAACATATTGCATTTTGCTTACTGTAAACTGATTTCCAACAGAAAATAACTTGAACAAAAGCCACATATAAATTAAATATACAAAATGAACTACCATTTAAAGACATCGTGATTAATTTGTTGGTATTTCATCTAAATTTAATTCGATATATGCGCAGGCCATAGTGCCGCTGTCCAAGTAAAATTTGTTACAATCTATCCCGAAACAAAAATAAAACTTATGACAATAACGACCTATGCAAAATTGGCTTATCCGAGCAATCAAGAAGAAAGTTCGTCTCTTTAAGAAACTGGAGAATGCATGACGTAATTTTCGCCATTATGACGAGTGAAGCCATTGAGGCCATTTTGGTTAACCCAAAACATTAAAATTAGATGGCGGAGTACAGTAAATATAAAAACAAGAATACATAATATGTAATTATCCCAGAGGGGAATTTGTTTTACAAGGTGAAAGGATACACATATTTAGCTATAAATAATAAATTATTAAGTTATAATAAATCATGTCATTTATATAAAGTTATATAATTCGAAATAACCAATATACAACAGATTGGGTTGATTTATGAAATTTCAAAACATATAATATATCTCATATCTACTAATATCTAATAAAATGGAAGGAATGATTGATATATTAAAATACCGTGTTATTAGAATATTTTGTAAGAGAAGTTTTATCATTGACTTCATCAGAGGTGTACTGAGCAGTTAGGTAGGGTAGGCAGTGCCTGCAAAAACAAAAGAAACTGGAAAGGGTTGATAACCCTAGAATCCGGTGATATTTCCAACCATTGTATAGCGTGCGTATGGATACGTGCCCTTGCTCTGTTCCGAAAAAGTGCCCTTCCTCTCAATGTACGTAAATGCACCATTGATCACTCCTCCCTATTCCTTGTCTTTAGTCCTCGGTTAGACAGGAAACCAGTTAACGCTGCTGATTTTCGACTTATTGTATGGCTGGTATCTAATTTCATCTGATTTCGGTTTCCATTTTAAAAAGTGTACAGTTGGTTTGCAACCTTTTATGATCACAATTCCGCATTTATCCCCGGATTAAAATTCTCAGCGGTCGGCTGGGTAGCTCTATGATCGCAGGCCAACTTGTATCGTTGGGGCTCTAACATCGTGAAGCATAAGTGACATGACACAGAAAACGAAACTAGTTTGATTCACTATTCCTACATCTCATTCATATAGATTGTTTTTCTCCTGTGAATGATGCCTTAATTTTTTTACAATAGATACGAAGATGAATTTTAGTTATTTTGAAAAACGGACGAGTAGTAATTGTACTTGTCTCCCTGAGCGAAACAAAAAGCGTCGGATTTTGTCACCAATATCTTGAGAAAATGACAGAGGCCCACATTTCGGGAGATTTTTAGTCTTTTTCACAGTGACCAGAGTGAGCGGGGTTCTGACCAGATCGTAGCCAAGAGCCCAAAATATGTTCAATGTTAAAGGAGCCCCCCCCCCCCGCTCTAATTAGTTCTGAAAGAATAACTTATAATTTGATTTATTATGTTGTGCCAAATAAATTTATCAAATATACTGACATAGAAATTGCATTTGTGTGTGCATTCGCATTCGAAAACTCCTTAAGGTTTTCTGAAATTCCGAAATTATGTCGTGCTCAGGGGTAGAAAACCTACATTTGGCACTGCTCCAGAACACAATTAACGAACAGTTTCCACGAACTTACAGATTATTGTTGGTTGTATTGAACAATATTTTTTATATAGAAAGGTTGATTTTTTAATAGTAAGGGTAAATATTTGTATGTATTGAGTGATCAAGGGAGATAACTGGGAAAGCGAGACATTGACAATAACATTTGCCGTACAGTTGTGCAAGTTTTCCACGAATTAACTCAATATTGTTTACATAATTGAGTATCGTGTTATTTTTCACAATAATGAAGTAGTGTGTGGTGGTATTTGGTAGTATTTAACTAGCATTCGGTAGTATTGGGTGAATCGCCCAGGCTATTTATGAATGCAAATGTACAACAAGAATTATAATTTTTGAGGGAATTCCCCACTGGTTATATATTATTAATCAACAATGACCTCGTATAGTATTTAACAATGTACAGCATATTCTAGTCACGCCTTTCTTAGTCATTCACATTAATCATTCCGTTTTATAACTTGTATAGATCGTATTTGTCGGTTTATTTAAAGGGGCAATGTGGCAAATCAACAAATATCCTTCCGAACAAGCATGTTATCGTAACAAAGTTGTTGTTGTTTGTGGTGTGTAAGGGTAATATCGCGACACACTAGACGAGTAGGCCATCCAAACCCCTAATGCAGATTACAGTAACCTACAATTTAGATTACTGTCCACTGTATTTCAGACCGCCATCGTTAATTGATTGTAGTCGGCTGTCGGTGTATTGTCCCTAGGTGTTTATATTTTCGCATCATGGCTTCAAAGATAGCTAAGGATTATCAATAGCAGCCAACCCTTATTTTTGTCCATTACACCCTTTGGGGCTACAATAACCCTGCTTTTAATATATTTAATTTGGAATTAAAGCAGCGAGGGACACCAGTCTGCTGTACATAATAGCCACAAAACAATGCTAGTTAGTTATCCAAAGAATAAGTTGGAATTCATGCCACGACACAATTCTTCAGCACCACTGTCCGTGAAACAGTAAAAACCCGCAAAACAATCATTGTAAGGGACACAAAAAGACAAGAGAACTATCGCATAGCGGTATAGCTTTGGAGACAAAATCATGTTGTACAACATGTATTTTCAGACCACGTCGATACTTTAAGTGTTGCGCCAGTGTGACATGGATGTTCCGCATATATGTGTTTGATAAAAATCCGTGAATGTACACCTTTAACAAAGTGATTTCATTTTGAAGCAATGAATGGATTTTTCCCTCACTGCAATTCTTCCTTTTTATATACAAGTTATAACTCTATTGTTTATGGCCTTAACCAGCTTAGCCACAATTTTGATATGATTCAATAGTATAGGACCTTAAGCAGGTTAAAGTCATCTGTGTGAACAAGAATTTAAAGGGGTTGTATTACTTTCCTTATTTAATTTTGTACCCATTATAGGGATGTTTGATGCGATTTTCAAGTTCGCAATAGTTGAAATTGTCTTGATATGTTACAAGACCAATCTGCACACAGAAAACTATCCCCACTGAGAATAGATATCAAAACTATCTATTACGTAAATATAGCACTAAAGTTCCCTAAAATCGTTTTGATTCTATAAAATAATCTAAGTACGTTATAATATTTGAAAAGGTCTAACCTAAAGGCGTGTTATACATTTCAATTTCATATTTATTATGACGGCAAGGGTATTGTTGAACAACATGACTGTCAAAAGAAAACAAGGCATTCAATATGCTGTTTGCAATACTTCAATTACAATACCAGATGTAAATTTCCAGAGGATAGAGCCACGCCCTGATATATCTGCAGATACCCGAATAATTAAGATTAAATTTGCGAATAAATCACCACTATATTAAGTCTACAGTGTAATATATTGATCCTCGTTATCCTTTAAGAGTGCACCGGTTCTAAGTGTTTCGTATTTCCATTGTTCATATGCCTTATTTGCCACACTCAAAAATACGAGTTTTCGAGTGAAACATGTCGGAGAGTCATAAGTGTTATTTACGATAATACGAAGTCCATCGTGTTTCAATAGATTATATGTGGTATATTTTTTAATCCTGTTGGATCCTTGCCAATTGGAAGCTAGAGGGTTTAACGTCCACTTGACACAAACTAGGTCATTGCGGTAGGGGGCATTTGCAGTGGGAGTAAACCGGAGGACCCGGTACAAGCGGGAAATAGAAACCACGCCACTCAATGAAAGACCGTATGATACAACACACACGTGTTAACTATTCGACCACCCTAAAACGAGAGTTATTGTTAAGCTTGAAAGTCAAATCATGGCAACATTTCCTTATTTAGAACGCCAATCATGTCTAGGTGCACGTAACGAGTGGATTAGGATTATCACAACAATAATGAATTAATAACGCAGCTCGTCTCGATTTTACTCAATAGTCATGCATGCACAATAAGACTTTAAAAACAAAATGTTTATTTGTGTAGTGCATACGCAAAAGTTATTTTTTTTTTGGAAGACTTAAGGTGTCAGGAAGGAATTTCTACGACTATATTATTGACATAATGCGTATTGTTTATGTTTTGTTCCTAAAATAATGCCAATTCAAAATTAGGATTATCCCCTTAATATTTATTACAATATTACTACATTACTACATTATATCAATAAAACAAAAAGTAGTAATTCATTATATATATTTTTTGGGCAAAATGCAGTAATTTATTATACTAAAAAATATGACAAAAAGTAGCAATTTATTATATTAAAAAATATGACACAAAACAGCAATTTATTATATAAAAAATAATGAGTAATATGACAAAAAGTTCTAATTTATCACATAAAATATATGACAAAAAGTTCTAATTCAGCGTTCATAGGGAAGACAGTAGTCGGCGTTCCTAGCCGTAGTACAGGCTCCTCGGCTTAGAGGGTGGGGTCGAGACAACATGTAGTGTTTCAGCCGTTAGGTCTGAGTTCTAGACTTCTTAAACTCAGACTGTAGATATTATAATAACTCATAATGTACTTTCAAAGATTTTGTTGTTTCCTGTATAAAGATATATACACATAGTTATAACCACACAGTTTTCCAGAGTTAATTGTTCATTGACGTTTTATACACAACGTGGAAGTCCTAATTAATTGATCGCTTTAAAAACAACGAAGTGTCACAGGGGTTATTTGGTGGATGGTTACCTCGGGGGTTAAAGTCCATCAGACGAATCACAAGCCTATTATTAGGTACTTGCATAAACATGTTCTCAGGTGTTCTAGAAATTGAACGCACACCCTGCCCGGTGCATGAATCTGCCACTCTTACTAAATGGGAATAGGGTTTTGTCTAACAGCCAAGTTTAGTTTTATAATCTTGCGGTGTTGGCTTGAAAGTAATGTCGGGTCTAAAACATCACCACCAATCTACCAATCGAGTTGTTAGAATACATAACTAACTGGTAATAGTTATTATAGTAAGTCTCTCTCGAGGGTGACTACCTAATATATAAATATTAAACATGCATTATGCAAGAGCAAAAGCTGCTTATTACAAGTCTTTCTTTAGGCCTGAAATGTTATCTAAATTATCAATTAGACATTAATTAACTTATCCAGACCATAATAAAATCTCGAAGTCAAGGCTAGCCTTCGATGTAGGCTGGATTAGATTCCTATATGCCGCTAACGGCCAAAGATAATTAAATCAGAAAAAGTGGATAATCGAGACTATGCTGTTTATATTAATGGTTTTAGTAATGATAACCGAGACTATGCACAAATTTCACCGGCTTCTTTCTCGGCTCATAGTGGATCAATTTGACTGAAATTTTCAGCAAATTACCATTACACTATCTAGTTTTTAACTATTATAGCGAGAACTGCCATCTCTTTATCTTATCTCCCATAATGTATCTTTAATATAAAACGTTTTGGATATTAAATTTGTAACTGGTATACAATTATCTACAATTGTTTCAACATTTTGTTTTGCCTAATGTACTACTACCTTTTCATTGCAATACAGGGTTAAATTCAAGATTTTTCGGTTACATTTATATAAGGGTTTAATACTAAATCGCTTACTGATGTTTCAACTAAGTTGTCATATGGGTTGGACACTGGTGTACTCCCGCATGTTTCATCTAAATTGTCATATAGACACCGGGTAACTTCAGGATGGTTCACCTAAACTGCGATATGGACTGGGTAATGATTCACTCCGAAGTTGTCATATGGATTGGACACAGGTGTACTTCCGGATATTTCACCTCAATTATCATATGGACTGGACATTCGGTTACTTCCGGATAGTTCACCTAAATTGCGATATGGACTAGGTAATAATTCACTCCGAAGTTGTCATATGGACTGGACACTGGCGTACTTCCAGATATTTCACCCCCATTTTCATATGCACTGGACACAGGGTTACTTCCGGATAGTTCAGCCGAATTGCGATATGGACTGGGTAATGATTCACTCCTAGTATTTAGTTATAGGCTGTTGTAGACTTGCGAATAGGAAAAAGGCAAACATCATTTTTATATCTTTTTTATATCTTAAAAGCACAATGTATTTTTATAAGCCCAATCATGTAGACGTATAATGCCAGCATATAGGACTAATATCATCATGATATTATTACAGCTGTTGTCAGTATGTATTGAGCTAAATAATATAAGGAATTTTATTTCAACTCTTGGTGAGTGTATGTTACCTTGTCTTACAAAGTATCAATGAAACTATCAATAACTTACCTAGCGTAGTGTAGTTTAAAACATAAAATGATTTTTTAGTCTACTTACTGTTTGTATTGTGTCTACTTGCCCTGAAATAAACAATGCATTATTCTCAAAATCAAATATTAACTATTAAAGTACAGATACAACTGATTTTTAAAAAGTTAATTAAGAAAATAAAACCAAATACCAACGCTAAATAAAATCCCGGCTTGGATTCAATCGGATTTTAAAAAGGTCTATCATTAAATGGGCAACAAAATGGCGGTGGACTTATTACATAGCCGAGAGCATAGATCGATGAAATTTCAATTCCAGATATCTTTATCAATACTGAACGGAATTGCACAATTTGCGGACTGATATTATTAGAGATTCGACCTTCACAATACTGTAATGGCACATTGGAACTTCAGATCTTCCTGTTATGATGAACAAAGTTAATAATCAATTACTCTGCTTTGTATTAATTTCTCAGTAACTATATGATTCTCTAGTTAGTGTGATCCCACCCCCGTCTTATTACTTGTGTAAATATCTATCTATCATTGTATAAGCGCCACTTACCCTCTTCTGGTTTTACCGTTACCTGCAATTAAAATAAAATCATGAAACTTTAGAGGACAATAAACCATGCAACTTTAGGAGAAATGAAAAAAAAACATGAACACAACACAATTATCTGGATGGAAAATGGTTTATGACTATTCAAATAGTCTCTTCTTTTACTTATATGTACAAAGCGCAAGTTCTTAAATCTCCGTTTAATTTTAATCAAATCAATAATCACCTCCGGATGTTGCAAGTTTTCTACATTGATAAATAACCAGAATGATAAGACCAATAATTATTGCAACAGCAAAACATAAACCAAAGATTAATGCTGTGATGGTGCCCACTTCCTTTTCAACTGCAATAAAAAAATAAAGCAATAATTATAAGTAAGCCATCTACATTTATCTCCAAGTACTTTATCCCGATTTTTTTTGTGTAACCAATATTTTATTTCAGAAATTTATGAAATGGGATCAGGGAACAGGCAAAGCCTATATTATCCCTCTCCTCATACAAGGAATATAAAACATATAATATACAGATCTTCTATGTACATATTATAAAATAATGGTGAAAATCATATAAATTAAATAATTCATATACATACTATTTAAAACAAATGAAAAAAAGAGGAAGTGCTGTTTTATAACATGATAAAAACGGTTCTATAAATAGATTCAGATATTGAAGCGTCTGGTAACATCGAAGTATTCATGAACTATTTTAAAGATGTTATAAGATGTAGTCTGATTTTATATGCCAAAAAGAAGTGGTTTAATTGATTGCTGGTGGGATGGTAAAAGATGTATTGTATATTTTCGTGCATCTGTATATAGTGGGCACCAGCGGAGAAAATGTTCAGATTCTTCAAAGCGATGACCACAGCTGCATGATGGATCCTCGGATATATGTCGTAGAAATTTATGCCCGTTTAGGTCGCTACAAGAAAGCCGCAATCTACTGTGTATGATCTGGTTCTTTCTTTATCCCGATTGGTGCAGTAAAGTAGAACGAGTAGACACTGTCCCTCCCAGGCCCTTCTACAAAGGCAAAAATTTCCACTGGGCACCCAGGGCTCCCCACTGACAGGGAAACTACAGTGTGATATTCAGGGTACTTTTTTCGATTAATACAACTATTGGGTCCATGATCGCTGGTCTTACCCACCCTGACTCCCTCAGACAAATTATATGTATTTATGTGAACTTTATAAATAAAATATTGTAATTTAGTATTCTCACCAGATGCATGTAGATTAGCTGAAGTCCGTAGTGGCTGACGAATCACCAGGTGGACTGGTTTTGATGAACCATACCTGTTACTAGCAATTACTCTCACAAAGTACTCGGTGTCTGGGTTGAGGTTTTCTATACATCCGTTTAAAACACTGCCTTCTTCAGTTAGTTCTACTGTTGGTGTGGAAGTCCATGTTTTGTTGTCTACAGAATGTTCAAAAATAAACTTCTGGGTATCTCCACCATCAAAACCTGGTTTTAGCTTAATACAGATCGAACTGTGGGATAAACTGTCCAATATAAATTCACTGGGTACATCTGGTACAGCTAAACAATAAAATCAACAAAATTTATTTATTGTTATTACTATTAGCTGCAAGATGATCACGAATTTACTGTCTGAATAAACAATCTATTTTGCACAAGGATCTTCAAAAATAAATTCAACAACATATTACACATTACACAACACAGTTTATGTTGCCGTGCCAGATTCAGTATCTTTATATGAAGAAATATTTTACATATAATCTTTTAGAGGTATTTATTAACTGGAAAGAGCAGTGCACATACGTATTTGTGATATGCTACCTATACTTACACTGTGTAGTGAGTGTTATGGTTAATATAATATGGTCGATATCATTGGAAATGTTGACTTTATAATCTCCATAAAAGTCAGATGAATTGATCTTAACATTTAAAGTTGACATAAATATATTAGTAGAATTAATAATATCTTCTTGTTGATATCGTCCATCGTTTATATTAATAGGTTTGTCCAGTCTATACCATGTAAATGTTGGTTGAGGATAGGCCAATATACTGACAGATAGTTGAACTGTTTCAGATACATTACCAACAACTGTCATAACGGGTTTAACATACGGGTATTGACGAAGAGAACCTAGTAATGAAATAGAAGTTAACAACGTAATATTGTTGAAATAGTATTTCTCCTAGGATTATACTGAAATGTATTTTGAGTACTAGATTTTTATTATTTCAAACATGGAAGGCTGGATGGCCGAATGGTTAGCGCGCGCTGTATCATAAAGTCTGTCATAGAGTCAACTAGCGCGGTTTCGATTCCCTGGGTGTATGTGACAAGGAGTAGGGTCGCCTGTCCAAGCTGGTGGGTTTTCTCCGGGTCCTCCGGTTTCCTCCCACTACTACATACCCCTACGCGCAAGCGAATTACTAAAACAAAATTGAATCATATGTTAGTCCTGAAATGACCTAATTTGTGTCGAGTGGATGTAAACCCCCTCTCTCTCTCTCCCTCTTTCTCTCTCTCTCTCTATCTCTCGCACGATTCACAATCCAGCTACATGTACATACATGATTTTACTTATCATTAATTATTAAATTCACTATAAACTTACATCTTATATTTACATCCTGTGATAAATTGGTAACAGTTGTCTGTATGTGACTATTAACAGCTGTACATGTATATATTCCTGTATCTAGACAATCAGATGTAGCTTTATAATAATTGATAGAATTGGTGGTTAGTTCTTTAGTGCTACTATCTGGTGTAGACCATGTCATGTTGGCTATAGGGTTACTATTGGTAGAACACGACAAGTTAAACGACTGACCTTCATCTACGTCAGTTTTATCAGATTGAATGATGACTGGATCCAGATCTGTGGATTATAATAGAAAAGCTGGATCTGAATTTAGAAAGTTAATTCTGAACTATTGTTATATAAAACTGTGATAATCACCCAATGAAACACAGGACAGAGAAGTAGGGCGGTGATTTTTTTAAATCAAATGTCATCATTCTCTGTAGCTTGTAATTCAGAAACTCCTTAATATGTAGCTCTGTCATGTTAATGTCTGAACACAACTGTGTAGCAAAAATAGTTAGAACGTCTGGATTTGTTTTTCGGATATGGCACCATAATAGAATAGTTAACTCTTGGCATTTCTCAATTTGCTAGGGCTAGGGACAGTATAATGAAATAGTTAACCGATAGAACGTCTCCAAGATTGTTACCTGTTCGAACTACTCAATTTGTTAAAGATAGGACAAACTTAATAAAAGATTCATTTAAATAGTTACTTACATCGTACATCAACCTGCACAGTTTTACTATCTGTTTTAATCAGTTGATTACCATTAGTAGGTTGTAATACTGTAATAGCTGTACAGTTATATACACCAGATTGATTTCTGTTGATATTATTTATAACTAAATCTTTATTATTAGATACTACACGTCCATCTGGACCATACCATTTAATAGTTGATACAGGATTAGAATCAACTGTACAGGTTACAGTTAGACTATTTGATTCTTCTATAACAACAGATTCACTTGATAAATATACTATTGGTCCATCTGAAATGTACATTTGAACATGATCATGGAAGTTAAATCTTCAAATATGACAGGATATGGCGTACAGTCGCTTGACTTGAACATACGAATATGTGCCCCATGCTACTAACCGACTTTATAAGGTTCTTCGATAATCAAGATGTTTTGTGTACATCTAGTTAGCAATTAATACTAGTCAATATTTAATTCAGTCTATTCTTGCATAGCAATCAAAGTAAACAGCAATTGAATGCAAAACAAAACAGACAAGAACGATGCTTTAAAAGATACTTACATAAAACATAAATTGTTGTTTGGTTTGTACCTGTACCTGTCTGTTGTATATCAGGTGATGTAGGTATCATGATATTAGTAGCTGTACATCTATAAACACCTGTCTGATTCCTCTTTATATCAGGTATAGTTAATGTAGAACCAGTAGAACTATATCCACCAGGTCCAGTCCATCTATAACTAGTAACAAGAGGGTTACCTGAACAAGTTATAGTTAATCCAGTAGATTCTAGTATTTTATATATAGATGGCGTGGACACAGTAGGTGGATATAAAACATCAACTTGTACAGATGTAGATGTTCCTGTTCCAACTCCATTATTAGCTGTACATGTATACTGTCCAGCATGTGATCTCTGTACTGACGTCAGACGGAATACAGATGACCTTTGACCTGTAATACTGACACCATCTTTACTCCAGGTAAAACTGGTAGGTTGTGGATCAGAATCATCAACAGTACAGGTTAAAGTTAGTTGATTACCTTGTATTATTTTATACGGACTGGTTGATGGTTCTATATATACTGTAGGTGGATCTGGAATAGATCAAAGGTTAAAATCAGTTAATTACCTTCTAGTATTCTATACGGGCTGGTTAATAGTTCTATCTGTTGATAGATCTGTAATAGTTTCGATATACAGGAAAATCATGAAAGGAGTAATGATATATTATTGAATATAAACTCCTAACATTAGAGAATAGAATAGTTTATATAGGCAAAGTTAAATATTTGTGTTACTCTGTAACTCTATAATGTCTCATGTTGTGATCGAAAAAATGTGGGTACAGAGACATACAGACTTTGACGAATTATCTGCGTATTTCATGTACCAAAAAGAGCATATTCAAATCATTGGAACTGCATTGACTAAGGTGTACATCGCTTGAAGATATAATATTAAGACTCAAAAGATATTTTATGGCTGCTAAGTTGTTGTAATCTACCAAAACTGCGGACTGATCTCCATAAAATTCATTACAGAAATTTATTGAAATATATAACTATTGTTTTATGTTTACGTGTGCAATGCTAGTTAAATGTGCTTTAACTGTAATATGAAAATTTCATAATATCGACATACTGTTTTCAAAATCTTTACTTGATTTATGCAATAGCAGACACATGACACCATCTCAAAGATATTCTGATTGAATGATTGCCTGATTCGATTCTGTCTAACGTCTTATAAATCAATATGATGACATTATCATTTCGTGGCCAATTGATGCACATAATATTAAGTACTTTATTTCTCAAATTCGATTATAAAAATTAAAATGCTAAAATACATAAGCCTTCATCGTCTACGTTCAGTATTTTCTGTTTTAATGTACCACATGTGCCCTAACTATATTCAATATGCCTCGATTCTATTGAAAACTAAAGCCTTTCTTAATTGACTTAAAGGTATTTAGTTTTAAACTACCTGTTTTTTTTTATACATTTCACCGATGTGGTTACTTGTATGTATAGTTAAATTTTACTTCATGAATCTTGCTGGCATTACACAATGGTTTCTCTGGGTTATATTCCTGATTGTTTTCAACCTACATCTTATATTTCATTATAACTTACATCATATATATTATTATAACTTACATATTATATATTATAATAACTTACATCATATATATTATTATAACTTACATATTATATATTATTATAACTTACATCTTATATATTATTATATCTACATCTTATATATTATCATAACTTACATCTTATATATTATTATAACTTACATCTTATAGATTATCATAACATATTATACATTATTATATGAAAGTTGTAAGTTATAATACTATATACATCTTATATATTATTATAACTTACAACTTTCATATTATTACAACTTACATCTTACATATCATTATAATTTACATTATATATGTTATTTAACCGATAGAACGTCTCCAAAATTGTTACCTGTTCGAACTTCTCAATTTGTTACAGATAGGACAAACTTAATAAAATATTCATTTAATTATCTACTTACATCGTACATCAACGAGTACAGTTTTACTGTCTGTTTTAATCAGCTGATTGCCATTAGTAGGTTGTAAATCTGTAATAGCTGTACAGTTATAAATACCAGACTGGTTTCTGTTGATATTATTTATAACTAAATCTTTCACGACCATCTGGACCATACCATGTAATAGTTGATACAGGATTAGAATCAACTGTACAAGTCAATGTTAGACGATTTGGTTCTTCTACAACAACAGTCTCACTCAATACAGATACTATTGGTCCATCTGAAATGTAGATTTGAACATGAAGGTAAATCTTCAGATATGACAGGATATGGTGTATAGTCGCTTGGGTTGAGCATACGAATATGCCCCATGCTACTAAGCGAGTTTATAAGATTCTTCGATAATCATAATGTTTTGTGTACATCTAGTTAGCTATTAATACTAGTCAATATTTAATCCAGACTATTTTTGCATCGCGATCAAAGCAACATAAAACACCAATCGTTTGAATACAAAAACATCAGACAAGAAAGAGGTTTTAAAAGATACTTACATAAAACATCAATTGTTGTTTGACTTGTACCTGTACCTGTTTGTTGTATATTAGTAGATGTAGGTATCATGGTATTAGTAGCTGTACACGTATAAACACCTGTCTGACTCCTCTTTATATCAGTTATACGTAATGTAGCACCAGTAGAACTATATCCACCAGGTCCAGTCCATCTATAACTAGCAGTAGGGTTACCAGGGATACTGCTACAAGTTATAGTTAACTCACTAGATTCTAGTATTTTATATATAGATGGTGTGGACACAGTAGGTGGATATAAAACATCAACTTGTACAGATGTAGATGTTCCTGTTCCAACTACATTATTAGCAGTACATGTATACTGTCCAGCTTGTGATCTCTGTACTGACGTCAGACGGAATACAGATGACCTTTGACCTGTAATACTGCCACCATCTTTACTCCAGGTAAAACTGGTAGGTTGTGGATTAGAATCATCAACAGTACAGGTTAAAATCAGTTGATTACCTTCTATTATTTTATACGGACTGGTTGATGGATCTGCATGTACTGTTGGTGGATCTGAAATAGATAACAGTTAACTTAGTTTAGAACCAACTATTATAATATGAGGACTTGTTGATGTTTCTACATGTACCCTGGGTGGATCTGGAATAGATAACAGGTTAAAATCAGTTGATTACCTATTGTTTTATAAGCACTGGTTGATGGTTCTACATGTACTGTTTGTAGATCTATAATAGTTTCGATATACAAGAAAATCATGAGAGGGGAAATTGAGGAACTAAAAGTATTATTGAATATAAACTCCTAACATTAGCGAATATGAATATTCGTTTTACTCTGTAACTATAAATTCCCATTTCGTGACCAAACAGTTATGGGTATCGATACAAATAGACTTTGGTCGAATTATCTACGTATTCCATGTACAAAGTTAGGGCATATTCAAATAATTGGAACTGCATAGGTTAAGGTGTACGTGGTTTTAAGATATAATGTTAAGACTCAAAGGACGTTTTATGGCTGCTAGGTTGTTATAAATCTACCAAAACTCAGGATCATTTCTGAATTTGGTTGAAATATACAGCTATTGTTTTATGTTTACGTGTGCAATGCTAGTTAATTGTGCTTAAAGTGGTATATGGAAGCTACATAATATAGATATACTGATTTTAAAATCCCCACTTGCATTTTACTAAACCAGACACATGACAACATCTCATAGATAATCTGATTGAATAATTTCCTGATTCCGTTCTGTCTGACATCTTATAAATTAATATGATGACACTAGATTTCATAGCCAGTTGATGCACATACTATAATGTACTGTATTTCTCGAATTCGATTATAAAAATTGAAATGCAAAAATACATAAGCCTTCGTCGTCTACGTTCAGTATTTTTCTTTTTTAGTTTATTAACTTACATATTATATATTAATATAACTTACATATTATATATTCATATAACTTACATCTTATATATTATTACAAGTTGCATTTTATATATTATTATAGCTTCATCTTATATATTAATATATCTTGCATCTTATATATTATAATATCTACATCTTATATATTATTATAACTTACATAGTATATATTATTATAACTTACATCTTATATATTATCATAACTTACATCTTATATATTATTATAAATTATATATTATTATAACTTACATCTTATATATAATTATAACTTGCAACGTATTTTATATATTATTATAGCTTACATTTTATATATTATTATAGCTTACATTTTATATATTATTATAGCTTACAGCTTATATATTAATATATCTTACATCTTATATATTATTATAGCTAGATCTTATATATTATTATAACTTACATCGTATATTATTATATAATCTTATATATTAAATTATTATATCTTACATCTTATATATTATTGTAGCTACATCTTATATATTATTATAAATTATATATTATTATAAATTATATATTATTATATCTTACATGTTATATATAATTATAACTTGCAACTTATATATTACATATTATATATTTATATAACTTACATCTTATATATTGTTACATTTTATATATTATTATAGCTTACATTTTATATATTATTATAGCGTACATCTTATATATTAATATATCTTACATCTTATATATTATTATATCTACATCTTATATATTATTATAACTTACATAGTATATATTATTATAACTTACATCTTATATATTATCATAACTTACATCTTATATATTATTATAAATTATATATTATTATAACTTACATCTTATATATAATTATAACTTACATCTTATATATAATTATAACTTGCAACTTATATTTTATATATTATTACTACCCACATCTTCTATATTATAATAAATTATATTTTATTATACCTTATATATTATTATAACTTACATTGTATATCAAGAGTGATATAATCTGTTGTACCAGTACCACACTGATTGGTAGCTGAACAGTAGAGTTTTTTATTATTTAGTTGTTTGGTACTAGTTAACTGTAAGATACTAGCTGTTGCACCATTTGTAACACCAGTAGTCTGTCCTGGTAGTACATTATCTGTTGAATCTATATACCATGTGAATGACACTGTTGAATCTATAGTTCCGGTATAACACGTGACTTCTGTTACCATACCATCAGTAAATAATAATCCACCTTTATCTTTGATTGTGGCTGTTACTCGAGCTAAAATAGAATACAATGTAAGGCTCCAGTTCAATAAAGGGACTATCCCGATTCGAAAATAAAAGTACGTATCAAATTTAAGCGCCAAACTATAGACGAATAGTGTATTTACCTTGTCTCGAAATCTCAAGTAAAAATATTGAGTCGTCTGGATGTGAACGTCAAAACTGCTTATCCGGACACGAAACCGGTTTAAGATTTCGGGTCAATTTCACAAATATTAAGTTAGTTGCTCGGTCCAGAGAATTTTAAGGGATTTTGATACAAAATTTAGCAGTTTTATTCTCCAAATAATTATCGGTATTGGCCTTTTAATGCTCATCTTAATGATTAAAACAATATATATAGATTTAGACATGCCTCTATTTGAATTTTCGCTCACCTGAAATCGAAAGATATGCACTTCCCGTTTTCTCACCTGAAATCAAAAGATGTGCAGTGCCCGTATCCTCAATGCTCTGACTTGCACTGCCCGTGCCACTAAAGCTTCCACCTGTACACTGCCAGTTTCCCCCGTCTCTTAGAGTTGATGCACTGTTGATGTATACATAACTTTTACCAGCATTAAAATCAACGGTAATATTATAACCAGATGAAATCCATTCATTATTTCGTTTCCATTTAATAGAATTTGGTCGATTATCATTTGATAGTTTAACCGTACATGTTAAAGTAACTGATGCACCTTCACATACAGCAGACTTATCTATATCGACTGTAACCTCACCTATAAATATAAAATAGTGCATAGCAGAATATTGCAGAAAAACTAACTGCGTGACAAACGAGGCTATCAAACGAATACAATGTAGACAATACTGTTTGGAGACGAACAATACTTTCACTGTTTTTAATACCTTAAATCACTGTCCAAAGCTTTAGAGAAGACCCCAGATTAAACGAAGGGCTGTCATGTTGCTGTACTTGGGATATATTTGATTGAACGGGAAGAATAGACACACTCCTTCAAAAGCTGTCGAAAGCTTTAGGGAAGACCCAAGATTAAACGAAGGGCTGTCATGTTGCTGTACTTGGATAGATTTGATTGAACGGGAAGAATAGACACACTCCTTCAAAATCTCAGATGTAGAAGCCAATCCAGCAATGGCCAGAGAGGGATTTCTTGAGCCATTGCTTCAGGAATATATAATAGAACATGTTAATCTAAACTGATATCACCTACAAATATACCAATAAGATGTGCTTTCTCAATGGCCTTAAAAATACTAAAGATAAAATGGGGGTTTAACGTCCAATCAAAACAAAATGGGTCATTTCAGTATTTACATATGGTTTAATTCTATTTTCAAGATTTCTCTTGTTCGGGAGAGTCTTTAGCTTCGGGGGGGGGGGGGGGGCGGACGACCTGCAGAAAACCCACGGGGATGGACAGGTGACGGTACTTCTTGATACGTACACGCGGGGAATCGCCTCTAGATTTAAGGACCAGGCATACACATGTACATATACACAACACATTCATTATGATATGAATTTGATTCCGGGTACATTAATTTCTATATTTGATTTAACTGAATATCTAAGTTGCATATCTTACATGGATAAATAACCCGATTGAGGTAACCTTTTTACTGCCAATTCCATATCAATTCGTAAAAATACGTAGTAAACAACTTACCTCTATACATAAAAACAAAAACAACCAGCACAATAAAAACTGTTGAGCGATGCATACTACTTAAGCCGATAAATATATTATACCTGCTTCTCTTTTGTTGATACTGTACAGGCCCTACCGTGTCGAAATTCACTATACAACTATTTTAAATTCATAACTGAACAATAAATGTGACTAAATACAGCAATCTATAGCTGTAATACATTTTTATATCATATAATAGCACGTTACGAGTAGCGTGCCCATCGCTCAAAGATGCAAAATACCGTTTAGGAGGGGAACGTGAGGGGATGAGGTGGATTTTAAACATATATTTCATAACTATATATGTTTCATACATTTGTTGCTAAAATATAAAAAATACCGCTCTGTATATAATCATATCCTGTCTTCATTAGCCCAGTAGTTGCAGAAGAGTAGGACGTTAAACCCGATTGTATTTATTAATATAACCACAGGACATCGATTGGATTATGCTAAATCAACATTATTATTAGTAAACTACTCTATGTACAGTTATAATGTATTTTACATTTAGTGTTGATGTCGAGCATAGCGGGAAAATACTTTTTAAAAATATTAGCATGTTTATAAACCAGTTATTTTGCGTTTAATTGCATTGTACTGTAGACCTTTCTGGGATATTTGTTATTATTTACCGATTGCCCTAAAAACATAAAAACTGCGTCAAAAACACATATTTAATTCCCTAGGGGCTTAAATATATTTTAAAGAAAGCATGATTAATCATGATGTATTCAGAACTTTGAGGTATAACAACGTTTAAAAGATTCCACAAACTAAGAACGGACACTAACTATGGTAGCTACTATCAGCAATTGATAAGATATTTTGTCTTACTAGTCCGGCAGAACTATGGCTGAACCTGGAAATACAAAGTTTTTTATGATCGATTTTAGTAGCCTAGGGTGTCCTCTTTCAGAATCTGCCGGGTGAAACTCGGTCACCCTTGAGCGTTTTGAGAAATTCAAGATGGCGTCCAAGACTGCCGCCACATCAAATAATCCCCTATAGCTTCCATAGTATTTATTCTAGGATGTTAATTTTGTTATCTAACCGTATGTTTCTGGGGTCAAGGAATAGAGTGAAATCATTTATTATGTTGTCGAGTGATTAGATGATAGTACAATATGGCCCTTTAACCCGTTAGCGGCGGTTCTCGGCGATTATTTCACCAACCAATGATTTCAAAGGAAATAGGCAGTGCAATTACAGATATCATAATCTAATAAATAAACAATACCATATATGATGATCACTCTGAACCATTTTCCCTAATTGTCGTACGTTATATAAGCAGGAGTTTGCTGACAGTTAGGTAGACGACTAAAGACGACTAGAGACGAGCGGGGTCGGAGAGACCGGCCTATGGACTCACCCGAGTTCAGCCGCTGCCTTGACAGAGGGGCAGAATGGTGGATTTAATATAGTTATATGTGTTCCTGTCGTAGTCTAGTTCCTGTATAGTTTGTTCACGTAGTTTTGTTGTATGTATGTAACTGAAGCTGTTTTATATACCTGATTTAAATAAGTCCTATATTTACTAAACCGATCTCTGTTATTACTAAGATAGTGTTTCATAGATCAGAAATTTCATACTGTCTCCATATACACGTAATGGTGATCCCCAATTAGTAAAAGTATGTAAATACGAATAGGACCAAAGAAATATATCCATAGAGGAAGAATTATAGGACGTTAACCACATTTTATGTATTTGTAATTTTCAAGCTCAATAGGCCAAATCGTTACACGACATGGAAATGCACATTAAGATGCATATAGTAACATTAAACAATAGCAGTAACGTTGATATAAGGGGGGGGGGTGATCAAAAAGATGTTGCTGCTAAAGCTGCTTTAGATTTTCCCCAATCACCGTTTCTAATACCATATGGGGATTTTAAGTCGTCAATAAACCATTTTACTTATGCTCGTTGGCAACGGTGATGGGATCTTGCAGGCACTAACAAACCTCTATTAGAAGACTGACTAAACTCCTATAGAACCAATAGGAGAGATGAAGCTGTTTTGTGACGCTCTCGTCTTGGTCATACTTATTGAACACACATTTTTATCTTGAAGCGAGAGCCCCACCCATACTGTCAGCACTGTCATGTTCTTTTGGCAGTTCAGCACAATCTGACTTAGTGCAGGTTTCTCAAGGACATACGATCAAAACATTTCCGTTGCCAGTCTTTAAATCAATTATTTGCCCAGTCGGGTCTATGTTATAACATACATTTTTAATTGTAAATATAGTATTTTTTTTCATTTTAAAATATTTGTGTACATGAAGTTGTGATTTTTAATTTTAATCATTTAATAAACTGTTTAATATTTGTTTTTTATTTGTGTGCATGAATAATTTATGTGATATCATATAGTTTGTCTCATACTTCTCAACATATGTTTAGCGAAATATAGCCTGGTTGGAGCTGGCGTGCCATAAAACAGTATATCATTCATCATTTAACTGGTGTCAGAAGAGTGGTTACTTTTATATATATATTTATAAACATTTTAACTTATAAAACTTATTAAATTACCTCATCCCTTTAGGTCATCAATTATGATTTCTGAGAATGCTTCTCATTATAATATGTTCACTTACATCAGTTAATATACGTTTAATTTCGTCGTCTATTGCTATAAATAAGTCAGTACTCTAAAGCTTGTGTGAAAACAATCCATCAAACTGGTTGTCCATTTTAACGCGGGGTGTAACAATGACCCATCCTGGTTGTTCATACTTAAACTGAGTGTAATATTTAACCACCAAACTGGTTGTTCATACTTAAGCTGGGTGTAATATTAAACCATCAAACTGGTTGTTCATACTTAAGCTGAATTTAATATTAAACCATCAAACTGGTTGTTCATAACGCGGTGTGCAATAATAACCCATTAACTAGGTTGTTGGTACTTAACCTGATTGTAATATTAAACCATCAAACAGGTTGTTCATACTTAAGCTGAGTGTAATATTAATCCATCCAACTGGTTGTTTATAACTCATAACTGTGTACAATAATAACTCATCAAATTGAGAGTTCGTACTAAAACGGGGGTTTAGGTAGCTTAGTGGTTAGTGCGTGCGCTTTGCATCATAAGGTCTGTCATTAAGTCAAGTGGGGTGTTTTCAATTCCCCGCTTGTACATGGTGTTACCTATCCAACCTCGTGGGTTTCTTCCGGTTGCTCCGCTTTCCTCCAACCACTAAAGACCCAATATGTTAGCCCTGAAATGTCGAGAGGACGTTAAACCCCATTTATCTCTGTTTCTCATGCTAAAGCTGGATGCTCATTCTAAAGCGGAGTGCAATTATAACTCATTAAACTGAGTGTTCATACTAAAATGGGGTGTGATTATAACTCATCAAACGGAGTGCCCATACTAAAGCCGGGTGTCATTTAACTCATCAAACGGAGTGCTCATACTATTTAAGCGGGGTGTAATTATAAATCATAACTCACTGGGTGTTCATACTAAAACGGGGATGTAATTCCCACTCATCACACGGAGTGCTCATACTATTTTAGCGGGGTGAAATAATAACTCATCAAACGGAGTGTTCATACTATTTTAGCAGGGTGAAATAATAACACATCAAACGGAGTGCTCATACTAAAGCCAGGTGTAATTAAAACTCATCAAGCATACATAATCTTGTAACTCTTTTTACATAATAAATAAAATAAAATAGTATATCAAGCGATTAAAGATATCTAAATTGTAGTAATACCACAACAATTATAAAGTATGTAAATAAACTGTGTATCTTATTTTACATTATAAATAGAATAAAAATATTTATAAATACTCCTACGTAAAAAGTAGTAATAATTTTACCACGATAATAACAAAATAGCAGATTAATAAATTTCCAATAAATGTTTTATATTATATGTAAATCAGGTCTAAAAAAATAAAATATGATTTATACAGTTAATACATAATGAATAACACAACTGTAATTTATGCAGAAAAAAAACTCAAAACAAATAACATATAATAACAAAAAGCCCCACCCCACTCCCAAAGTTAAGTAATGTTAATAATTAATTTGCTTTCAAAAGAAGTACTACAATAAAATAAAACCAAGTACGAACAATTCAAACCATTAGACAAAATTCGATGTCCTACAAAAGGGGTATAGGCAAAATAGTGTAATCAGGCAAAATAGTGTAATCAGCATATGGACTGTTAACCGTGTACAAAATACACGACAAACAGTGGTAACAGGTGTCCGGAAGAGTAAGTTTAACCTGTCTGGCGCCACACCCACCATAGCTGCATCCAATCTATTAGGCGAAATTTCAGTAAAATAACTTAATATTGCATTGTTGTTGTTGCATTGACAAGTGATGACGCTGATATCTATAATTAATACATAAATAGTACTTAATGATGGAAGTGGAATGTAATGTATCTATAATTAATACATACATAGTACTATAATTAATACATAAATAGTAGTTAACATACACCTACTGATACACTAAGTTGAAACTGTAGGCCTATTAATTTATACCTTTTAGAATTCTGGTATTATGATGATATAAACATAATGCAAAATTATATTACTATACATTTTTTCATTATTATTATGAAAAGAAATATGATGAATTATTGTACCATACATTTGTTTTTATTATTTTCATGATATAAACAAAATTCAGAATTATGTCACTATACATTTGTTTTAATATTTTCATGATATAAGCATAATGCAGAATTACGAAATTAACATAATTCAGAATTATGGTACTATGCATTTTGTTATTATTTTCATGATAAAAACATAATTTAGACTTTTCATTTTATTACCATGATAATATACTAAGTATATGGTGCAATATATCTTTTAGTATTATCGTGATATATTATAAATACAATGCACCAAAAAAATTATGGGGTACTATATATTTTTAGCATTATCGTCATCTTATAAATATAATGCACGATTATGGTACTATAATAATGCATATTATATATAACCATAATCCATTTTACTTACAGTAAACTGATTTTCAACAAAATTGAACAAAGCGTAACAAATAAATTAAATGTACAAAAAAAAATTACTATATAAATCAACAAAAACATCTAGGCTAATTTGTTGGTATTTCGTCTAAATTAAGATATGGGTTGGGTAACATATCAGATACGATATTAAACCCCAGGCTGTTATATGTACTGGATAATGATTCACCCCTGATGTTTAAATCTAGAGTGTTGACGTTTCTGAAAGACAGAACACACACGAATGAAAACAGGTTATTTTATTGGCAAAATTACTTCATTGCAGATTTCAATCATCTACACATTTACAGGATAATATCGTTAGGATGAGAATGAATCATTCATATTTTGACATGAATAGAATAATTATTTAGAAATAACTCACCTCTTATAATCTTATAACACTTTCGCCATTTCTTCTGTAAATAATAAATTTAAAACAATAACGACAATACAGTTACATCAGATTATATTACACATATGCCAAAAACAAAAATCCAAAAATGTTTTAAATGTATTATTCGCCTTTGCCTATTAAATGATACATTTTAAAGATGGGTTAAGATTTACGTAGGGTATATCAATGACAACTAAAATTTATCTCTGTATTACTCATGAACAAATCCCAGATAGGCAAACATAATCTCATAAGTACTTTCACAATGCAATGTTGACAGACGATTTAAAATTTTAAAAAGTAGCCTGGTTGATAAGGTACACCTGAAATAATTGAACAATGAATAGCTTTTCTATATGATATACTTATTGTAGATTTAAACATCAAACTTGCTGCGATCCTCATTTGTAGATATAGATTTTTACAAGAAAGCAACCTTGAAGATCCAAGATGGCCGCCATAATACATTTTGTGGAAGTGGTGCTTATCAAACAATATGTGTTTTTCTCCAGAACGTGCACATGCACTTAGTCAAAGTACTGATGTAATTGAATAATATAGCCCAAGATTGACGCTCAATTAGGAACATCGGCAAATCAAGTTGCACAGCTCTTCTTTGCCTAGCGGAAAATTCCAATTATTCAACCCAGTGAAACCATTCACTCAATGAATATATATAACATTCTACCTTAACTAGACACAGATTTCCAAAGTCTCTATTAAAGACCTTTACCCCCACCATTGAACTTGGTAAAGTGTAGATGTAATGAAAATATAAGCTACGCTTTCGCACGCCCACTCACATTGTTTGTTCCCGTTTAGACATCTACACCAAATATAGCAGACAACACTCAAGACGTTATTAACAATAGAAAACCGAAACTGTTTTACAATTTAATATAGATTATTAAGCACGACCAACATTTAAAAATACATGTTACAAAGCATATCTACTTACCAGCAATTTTCACCAGAACCGTTGTACTGTCTGTTTTAATCTGTGGATTACCATTAGCAGGTTGTATTACCTGAATAGCTGTACAGTTATAAATACCAGACTGATTTCTGTTAATTTTATTTATAACCAAATCTTTATTATTAGATACTTCACGACCATCTGGACCATACCATGTAATAGTTGATACAGGATTATAATCAACTGTACAAGTTAATGTTAGACGATTTGATTCTTCTACAACAATAGGTTCACTTGATACAGATACTGTAGGTCCATCTGAAATGTATATGTTAAATCTGTGGTAAATGGAAGATGGTGTAGTTGGGCATTTAATACCAAGAGTATCTTTTCCCTAGGTAAAACTTAAAGGTTGTGTATTAGAATCGGTTAAAGTACATAGTTGACAATAAGTAAATTTAAACGTTTGTGTTACTTCTGGCTTACTCCGTCGGAGAGTTTGAAGCTAAATCGTCAAATGGGGATATTGACAGTAACGACAATCATTGAACGCAGCGCTTTTATCTGCCAATGCCCGTTATCAACCATTTTGTGTGATCTTACGTCTAGTAATATAGGACTGTATTATATCTTACATCTTATATATTATTATAACTTACATCTTATATATGATTATAACTTACATCTTATATAGTATTATACCTTACATCTTATATATTATTATAACTTGCAACTTATATATTATTATAACTTACATATTATATATTATTATAACTTACATCTTATATATTATTATAACATACATCTTATACATTATTATAAATTACATCTTATATATTATTGTAACTTATAGATATTATAACTTACATCTTATATATTATTATAACTTACTTCTTATATATTATTATAACTTACATCTTATATCAAGAGCTAAACAGTAGTGTGTTTTATTGTTCAGCTGTTTGGTATTAGTTAACTGTAAGAAATTAGCTTTTCCACCATTTATAACACCACTAGTCTTTCCTGATAGTACATTAGCTGTTCCACCATTTATAACACCTGGAGAATCTATATACCACGTGAATGAAACTGCTGGATCTATAGTTTCTGTATAACACGTGATGTGTGTTACCATACCATCAGTAAATAATAATCTACCTTTATCTTTGATTGTACTTGACGACGTGCTGAAGTAAGCATAAAATAAAATGTAGACATGAATACGCATATTACACAACATAAAATATTAAGACGTAGAAATGAGATACAATGGGGTTTAACGCTCTACTTTTCTGAGAAAAAAAAATCTCTATAAAAACGTGAGAAAAGCTCTATAAAATATTGATTTGCAACATTGTAATAATAAACGTGAATTTTCGCTCATCTTTAATCTTCAGATTTGTACTTCCTTGACCCCTAATGCCTGAATGCGAACGGGCCAGTTTCTCAAATCTCAAATTTGAGTAAAAACTGTTATGCTTTCAGTAATGAAAAAGGAACGCCTCAATGAGCTATTGACTATTGCGTGTGAGCGTGACCTGACGGACACGATCGTTCTTGAAAAAAAATTGCCGATCGGTGGTCATCTTGACTATGCACGGACGCTTGATGAAAATGTATGTATATTCACCACAACAATATATTACAGATGTAAAATATGTAACTATTATCACTTTCATAAGCTGGTACAGATTCACAGTACTCCGTAAGTTATGCGTAGCACCCAATTTTACTCATGTTATCTCCAAACTTTCCCCCTAAAGGCCGGGAAATGGCATTTTATGGACGTGGCTGTGTCACTCGTATTAGGGACTGTGCATCAGTCGGTCTCATTTTTTGCTATCCCATCCCCACAAACAAAATCCATATGTACGCAGCTGACGACTGCATAATATATAACATTGTGTAAAACCAAATTTAAATTTCGACTAACCTTTAATCTTGAGAGTTGAATGTCCACTGCCAATGCTGATCACGGTTACACATTGCCATTGTCCCCCGTCTCTTCATTAGCCCAGGTTAGGAGCAGAACAGTAGGACGTTAAACTCAATTTCATTTCCCCCGTCTCTTATCAATGATGTACTGTTGATATATACCATACTTATACCAGTCTTAAAATCAGAGGTGATATTATAACCAGGTGGTTGATCACATGTAGTTGTACAAACTGGAAAAGGTTCATCAATTCTACTCCATTCAATAATGTCAAAGGTTGTGTTATAATCAGGTGGTTGATAATATTTAGTTATACAAACTGAAAGAAGGGCATCATATCGTCTCCATGCAATAATTTCTAGTGAACCAACAGAACATGTTAAAGTAACTGGTGTTCCTTCACATACATCAGGCTGATCTATATCTACAGTAATCTCACCTATAAATATAAACATAGTTAAACATAGAATAGAACATGTTAATCCAAACCTTGATCACCTATACATCTAAACATAGTTGACATAAAATAGAACATGTTAAAGTAAACATAGTTAAATATAGTCAACAAAGTAACGAATGTTCCTTCACATACACCAGTCTGATCTGTATCTAAACTACATGTAGTGTCAACTCATCTTTCGACAGTATAAACACATTTTGATTGAGTGCAAGCATCACAAACATACAAGTTTACGATATAACCATTGCCAGTCACTACACCACTTGTTTGTCAAACCTGGATTATATTGCGAAATGCTAAACGTTTTAAAAGAGACATGTTTTTATTGTAAATATATATGTGTAATATTTTCTATTTTAAATGTTTACATGCATAAATAATTGTTTTGTTTTGTTTTTTAATTTTGATATACTGTGATATTTTATTTTTATTTATGCATATGAAATTTGGTGATATGATTTAGCTTGTCTCGAAATAATCACCATTTGTTTGGCGCAATATAGCCCGATTGGAGCGGACGTGTTATAAAACCATATTTCATTCATTCAGTCTAATCTCAACTATTAAATGTAAACATAAGATCGATGCAATCAAACACTAAAAACACTAACAAACACATTGGGAAGACCTCCTCGATGGACTTAGGACGGGGTAAATCAAACACTAACAAACACATTGGGAAGACCTCTTCGATGGACTTAGGACGGGGTAAATCAATAAGTCGACCGATATACGTGTTACAGATGTTTGTCCCTACTGAGTCCACGATCTGGTACGTACAGGTACGTTTCGAAACGATCAACACGATTGCTACGACTGACCTCAATATATGATAAGATGTGATAGGATCACCACAATTACTCCACGATTAAAGCCACGATTACAATCGCAGCACGAATCGTGATAGTGGGAACCTGTGAGACTAACAATGAAATGGTTAGTTTGCGCATGGGTGAAAATAAAGAAACCATTGACAGTGCAAACAGCTTTTTCTTCTAGCTTTGCAATATGGAACCTTTCCCCGACATTTGTAGGCGATTCAGCTGTAAGTTTGTTATGGACATGGCTCTTGCAAATCGATGCCTGAAACACACTCAAGGGCATAGGCATCTAAAACTGGAAATGTATCGTCATCATCCCAACTTAAACCATGTAGTCAATCTCCAACGAATAATGTATTTGTAGTGAAGGTAAAAAAAAGTAACCACCAAGCTATAGTGTGGTGTTCACTGGAAAATCGTAATGACTCGGAACTTGACCCAGAATTGAAAAGCTGGGTTAAGGACACTAAATTGAAAACATAACAAACGTTCAACTTGCTTCATGACTCTTTCATGTGCCTCATAAGATGTGGATGAGAGAGTGAGACCCCTGTAGTGCGTGTGCCTGTAGCTGCACTAAGGATGGCTTAGAATATACAGTATTTTGCACTTGTGCTGTCAGAGGTCGCAACCAGAAACACAATTAAAGAATTAAACTGAATATAACCTAGTTTTGCGGAGGTTATGTTCGTGTTTTGAGGGTAGAATTTGTTTTTTTAAATGTTCACCAAACAGCTTCCTATTCAGGACCGACCTATGTGGCCCTGGAGCCCCCGATAGGCATGTATGTGGTGTTATGGTATCACTCATAATCTCATATATCCTGCAATATATAGCTTGTCTCTACATATAGTTTGGTTTGGTGAAATATTTTCTGGCATGTTTGATTTTACCATCATCTAATCACCCCACAACACAATGAACTATTTAAGTGTATTCCTTGACCCAAAGAACATATGGTTAGACACCAAAACTGTCATTCTACACTAAATAATATCGAAGTTAATGGGGACTATTTGAAATGGGGACCGTGTTGGACACTCAAGGGTAACCGAGGTTCAATCTATCATGAGGAAAACTGTGTATGCAATTTCAGCCATAGCTCTGCCCGACTATACAGGTCTGGGGCTGTACATAGCCCCGATACATTGACTTGATGCGCGTTCGTTGAATGAGATGTATATTGGGTCCTGTCCGTAGGTTTGTTTTGTATAATTGCTTGTGTGTGGTGCGCCCCCCCCCCGCACTTTCTACATAAAGAAGTACACAACTTACCTCTATACATAGAAACAAAAACGACCAACAAAATAAAAACTGTTGCAGCATGCATATTAGCGATAAATATACGGTGCAGCATGCATATTACCAATAAATATACGTATTACAAACAAGCTGTAGATCTTCTATTTTGATCTATTGTTGACACTGTGTACCATGACGAAAATAAATATAGAGATGTTTACAATTCATATCTGCTCTATATGAATTCATTTTTTTGAATACAGACAATGTACAGCGGGAAAACATATCCTACACCAATAACAAAAGGAGACTTCGCGATTGTGAACCACCTCGACCATCACAGGGAACAAACAAGTGTCCTCTATGTTAGGGAAGCAACTACCTACACAATGACTCACATGGCTCATTATATTGCAGACGTATGCACGATAAAGCTTTATAAATGAAAAGGTATTTATGTGCATACACATGTACAACACAAGTTAGGGTGAGAAGTATAGAAAACGAACTGTCATAATGCTCATTGTATTGTATTGTTTCGTAATGTCTATGTCATGTTTCTATAATAATGCTAACATTTATTACAAGATCTAATTTATAACAAACATACAAAAAAGTATTATTATTGTGAAAAAATATTATTATGATACAACGTAGTAATTTAATACAATTTATTATATTAAAAATATGACGAAAGGAACTAATTTATTATATAGAAATATGAAAAAACATAGCAATTTGTTTTGGTTTTTTTTAAACTAATATGACAAAAAGTAGTAATTCAGCATATAAAAATAATTTGGTGAAAAAGGAGTAATTTTGTATATAAAACTAATATGACAAAAAGTAGTAATTTAGTAAATAAAATAATATGACAAAAAGTAATAATTTATTATATAAAATTAATATGACAAAAAGTAGTAATTTATTATGTGAAAAAATATTTCGAAACGTAGTAATTTATTATACATGTATATATATATATACAACCAAAGCAAAATTCATTATATCTATCACAAGGACCGGCTTTTATGTATCTAAATGCCTGGATCTTCGAAGCAAATGTTGCGACCATATTACGGCAAATAACAAATATAATTTTCTTAAGTTTACATTTAGTGTCAACGACAATATGAACTGTGACACAAAAAATCTCATATATGTCTTGACTTGCAATGGGTGTCTAAATGTTTACATACGGGAGACATCCACGCATCTACGGGATAGAGTACGCAACCATCGACGAGATTGTAATATTGAAAATGGACCTTTATTTGTAAATAGACATATCTTTAAATGTGCACAACACCTACATGTAAAATTCCAAATTTTCCCTTTTTATAAAATGAAATTAACAATTGGTCCACAGCTTCATTAATTTTCTTACAAGCTTAATAGCAATAATAATGATTTATTAGAAGCCAAAGAGGCATATTTTATTGAGAAATATCGGCCAGCTTTAAATGCAAAATTGTAGTAATTTCATTGTATATAGGCCTAGTTATTGTTCTCTGATTTGATATATTTTGCATTTAAAGCTGGCCGATATTTCTCAATAAAATATGCCTCTTTGGCTTCTAATAAATCATTATTATTGCTATTAATATTGTTCTCTGATTTGATATTAAAGATATGTTCCCTCTGTGTTACTATGACGCTATGACGTCATAATCATTATTATATTACCAAAATGTTGATTATCTGAAGAGCTTAATAAAATAAGCGAAGTTGCTAGTAATCGACAAATAATGTAGTTCTTTTTTCAAAAACTTTTATATTTTTGTGTATATATATATATATATATATATTATCAAAGCCTTAAAATTGATAATAAAAAAAGATATGACATAAAGTAGTAAATAGTATGTAAAAAAAAGGTCAAAAACCAACACGAGGCATATAATACGGAATCTAAAAATAAGTGATTCATTAGATTTCTTTCAAAATATATAAAAAATATGGTAAAAAGTAGTAATTCATAATTTAAAAAAAAACAATTATGTCAAAGATTGGTAATTCGGTATGCTCAAAAATACGACAATGTAATAAGCAATGTAAATTCCCGACATATAAGTAGTTATTCTGAGAATACCCTGTCTTATGTACAGCATCGCTACCTCAAGCTAAAAGGAGTTTAAATCCGGAAGAAGGGTTGACATGCACCCTGCACGTTTCAAGTCAGTAGCTTGAAGCGTATATATGGTATTAGTGTCAGTGGCTTGTGGCACGAAGTAACAGTATATTGTCGCATACATAATATATTATGTCAACGCTTGGGCGACATAATATATTGTGTTGACGCTCCAAGCGTGTTAGCATATTAGACCTGTAGACTCAGTGGAATGTACGCGTCATCAGAGCGGATCCAGGGGTTGGACCATGGGGACCGGTCCACCCCCTTAACAATAGAAAGTGTCCCTGTAAATAAAAGAGGGCATCCTTATCAGAAAAAGGGCACCTGTGATGTCAGAATTTCAAAAAAGGGCACTTTTCTTTCGGATTAGGGTTAGGGTTAGGGTTAGGACACAGAAAAGAGAGAAAAAACAGAAAAGAAAAAAACAATCGAAACTTACCGATTCCATGATGGAAAATACCGCCAAAATATGTCTCCAAAGCATTCATTGGTTATCAAAGCGCCAATTAAATCTATCGTTGCAAGTTCATGCCTAGTCACCTCCATCCTAGTTCCAAGCGTTAACATAATATATTATATCGCCCAAGCGTTGACATAATATATTATGTATGCGACAATATACTGTTACTTCGTGCCACAGGCCACTGACACTAATACCATATATACGCTTCAAGCTACTGACTTGAAACGTATCGCCTGTGACATGGTGGATGCTTATCACGCGGTTTTGTACTAAAACGTGGTTTCGTGTGTTCTAGAAAGGGAATGCATAACATGTCTCATGCATCAATCTGTCACTTTAGATGAATGGTCACCATCAGTCTACCAGCCTTGTGGTTAGAATACATAAATTTGCTGGACGGACTTCACCTAAATTGGCATATGCACTGGAAATGGCTTTATTTCCGGATGTTTCACCGAAATTGGCATATGAACTGGATATTGGGTTATTTCTGGATGTTTCGGGTAAACTGCTATATGGATTGGGTAATGATACACTTAGTCCAGTCAATCTACGTGAAATTTAGGGCCACCTAGAACAAATTGCAACAGTAGGTTTCTGTTTACCGTTGTGTTCGTGGGATCATCCACTGCAACATATCCAAAGCTCTCTGATTTTCGAAGTCATATTTGTCTCTGTTATAATTTTACAAGATTAAAATACCATTCGGGGCCATTTGGAATTTATGTAAAAAGTTAGCATTTTGAATTTATGTAAATTTTCCCATTTGCACACCCCGATCTTCATAGAGCTTTGAGTATGCTGTAGAGGGTGATTACAAAGGTACCGTGTGTTGCAATGTGTTCTAGGTCAACCCTTATTTAGACTGGACTAACTTCTAGTATTCAATTATAGGCTGTTGTAGATTGACGAATCTGTAAAAGTCAAAGTAAAGAAAAATAATATTTTCATATCAGCACTATTTTATTTTATAAACACACTTATATAGAAGTATATTTTCAGTATTTCTTTGGCTAAATATCATTATGACACGAGGGTACTTTTTAAAGCTGCTATTATCAGTATTTATTGGGCCAATATCATCATGATATGACGTGTTTTATTAGAACTATTGTCAGTATGTATTGCGTCAAATACCACCAAAATATGAGGGGGTTTCTTACGGCTATTTTATCAAAAAGCTACTGACTAAATATCATCAGGATATGAAGGGTTTTATTACAGTTGTTGCCAGTATTTATTGAGCTAAATAATATGGCTGGATTTATTTCAGCTATTGGTGGGTGTATGTTACCTTGTCTTACAAAGTACCAATGAAACTACCAATAATATACCGCGCGTAATGAAGTTTAAAACATTAAATGATTTTTAGTCTACTTACTGTTTGTATTGTTTCTACTTGCCCTGAAATAAACAATGTATTTATTCTCAAAATCAGACATTAAGTTTACCAGGATGCAATTGCGTTTTTAACATTTAATTAAGAAAATGAAATTCAAGCACCAACGTTAAATAATACCCTGTCTTGAATTCAAGTGAATTCGACAGGCCTATCATTAAATGTATATGGACGACAAAATGACGATGGACATATTTACATAGCAAAGAGCATAGATCGATTATATTCAAATTCCACATATTTTTTGTAATTACTGAACGGAATTGTACGATAGCAAAGGACATTGATCGATTATATTTAAATTCCACATATCTTTGTAATTACTGAACGGAATTGCACTATTTGTAGACTGATATTGCAATTAGATATCGGTCCTTTACAATATTGTAGTAGTCCTATAGCGTTAAATGACGCATCCGGATTTTTTATATCTTACACTGTTATAATAATTGGATGCAAAATGGTTTATGTCTCTTTAAATGGTTTCAAGTTGGACTTTATATGTGAAAACTGACAGTTTATTAATTTCGGTTTAATTTAAATTAAATTAAATCACCTTGAAGAATCGCTGATTGTCTACGTTGATAAATCTCCACAATGATAAGACCAATAAATTTTGCAACAGGCAAAACATAAACAAACGACCAAAGCGATGACGGTGCTGTTCTCTTTATGATCTGCAATATACAATAAAGCATTAGTTATAGTCTATATTACACCGGTTGGTGCAAGGCAGTATGACGAATAGATACTGTGATTGTCAGGCCTTTCGATAATTGGACACCAGGCTCGAACCCGGGGAACTTTCACCAACAACACTGGGCTCAACCGCTGAACCACTAGATAGTGAAGCAACGCTTTACCCACTGAGCCACGCGGCACTTTCACTGACGGGGAAGATCACGTGGAATATCCAGGGTAACATTCGCGGCAAATGCAGAGATTGGACCAAAAATTTCTGGATTTTGATCCAACGTCTTGCTCTCCCTAGCTCCTTGTGAAATTCTATGAATTGTATTATACTATACTACCATGCTTTTAGGGGTATCCATTATAAACTTCAATACTAGAAATCAATAAATATATAACGTATTGAACTGTACCATTGCCGCCAGATTTAAGCGGTGCAGCTGATGTTCTTAACGCCAGATAGACTGGTTTTGATGAACCAAACTTGTTACTAGCAATTACTCTCACATAGTAGTCGCTGTCTGGGATGAGGTTTTCTATACAGCGGTTTAAAACATCGCCTTCTTTAGTTAGTTCTACTATTGGTGCGGTCACCCAAGTTCCGTTGTCGACAGAATATTCAAAAATAAACCTCTGGCTGTCTCCACCATCAAAACCTGGTTTTAGCTTAATACAGACCGAATTATGCGATAAACGGTCTAATATTAATTCACTTGGCGATTCTAGTATAGCTAGACAATAAAATCAACAAAATAGTTTATATTAAATTTACATAGTAGTTATTAGCACACTCTCCGATTGGCCTAGCCTATACGTAGCGGAAAGGTGCGAATAAATGACTTCCATCACAATTCTATCGGGTACTGTGAAGCCATGTGTGAAGAATAGTATTTTTTCTATGAATCTTGTCAAACGAAATGTCACAAGCGCTTTCTTCTCTTTCATGTATCCCTTTCTGTGCCTCGCGTCACATTTAACGGTAAAATGATTCCGCATTGGAGAAACGACCTCGGTAGTATTGAATTTACACGTGCGTGTTGCAACGTTACCCCGAGCGTAAACCAACCAGTGTTTTTTTTAGACTGCATTCTGTATTGAAAGATGGAGGAAGTGTCACGAAATATGTAACATGACGCTGTCACAAATACTCCTTGACGATACAGAGGACAAACATAGGTTTACTGAAAGTGTAAGTGATAGTTATAATATTGCATTGGAGCAGCAGAATAGAATTCTAGCTCAGACCAAGCGAAATACTCGAAGGCGTATCAAATTTAATGTTGTGTGCCTTGCAGAGAAATAAATTTTGTGACTTCGGATGACGTCGAAGAAAGTGCAAAATACCGTTGTGTGCCACGCTGGTCTTAAGAAAATCTGAATTACCGGATGTGCAGATTTGTATGTGAAGCTAGAAGGCAAGATGGTAGTTACTACCCTGCTTTATCTCTTAACAATATATGCATTTTCATTTGGAGATTTATTCAACTCATTTGCAACTCTTGTATAAGAGTGATGGTTTGTCGGACATGAACAGTATTCTTCTCAGGAAGGACACTGTTTATTTCTGATACACGGATGTATTGGAAATAAATAGGATAGTTTTATCAATGGTTGCCACTGGCAACGACATAGAAGTGGGATGTAAGCATTATTATTATTGTTAGAGGCAATGTGATCTATCTAACAAATTCCTCGATGCGAATACCAAGTCTCGCGCTTTCCATCTAAAACGTCTACCTGTGATAACCGAGTTGCAATGTCCAAGGTACGTTCAATGTCAAGGTTTCCGTGGAGGTCGCGATGTCACAACCTCTGACTGAACGCTACTGTCCCCGTGTCTGTAGACAACGTAGCTATAAGTTCGGGAAATGATATGTAATCTAGCAACGTCCAGATGTGGTAAAAATTAAAGTCGTTGTTTCAGGAACATACCAAAACCCCAGACCAATCTCCATAAAATTCCTTACAGAATTGTGTGGAAATATATAACTATCTTCACGTGTTCAATGCTAGTTAAGTATTGTAATCGATATTGTATTGTATTAATGTTGTGCTTAAAGTGGTATATGGAAATTACATAATATACACATACTGTTTTTAAAATCTTTACTTGCATTATGCTATAACACACACATAGCAGACACATGAAGACATTCCAAAGATAATCTGATTGAATTATTTCCTGATTCGGTTCTGTATGACATCTTATAAATCAACAATAGATTTCGTGGCAATTTGATACACTGTATTTCTTTCATTCGATTATAAAAATTAAAATGCAAAAATACATGAGGCTTCATCGTCTACGTTCAGTATTTTTCTGTTTTAATGTATTTTGTATACGATGTGCTGTACATATATAATACAATCAATCCTACATCTTATATATTAGCATAACTTACATCTTATATATTATTATAGCTTACATCTTATAGATAGTATAACTTACATCTAATATCAAGAGTGATATTATCTGTATTACCAGTACCACACTGATTGGTAGCTGAACAGTAGAGTGTTTTATTGTTTAGGTGTTTGGTACTAGTTAATTGTAAGATACTAGCTGTTGCACCATCTATAACACCACTAGTCTGTTCTGGTGGTACATTATCTGTTGAATCTAAATACCACGTGAATGACACGTTTGGATCTAGTGTTCCTGTATAACACGTGATGTTTGTTACCATACCATCAGTAAATAATAATCTACCCTTATCTTTGATTGTGGCTGTTGCTCGAGCTGAAATAGAATAAAATGTAACGACCCAACACATTAATGCTCATCTTAATGATTAAAACAATATATATATAGGTTTAGACATGTCTCTCATAAATACGACAATAGATTTGACTTTTTCTCTCACCTGAAATCAAAAGATGTGCAGTGCCCGTATCCTGAATGCTCTGACCTGCACTGCCCGTGCCACTAAAGCTTCCACCTGTACACTGCCAGTTTCCCCCGTCTCTTAGAGTTGATGCACTGTTGATGTATACATAACTTTTACCAGCATTTAAATCAACGGTAACATTATAACCAGATGAAATCCACTCATTATTTCGTTTCCAATGAATAAAAGTTGGTGGGTTAACATTTGGTATTTTAACCGTACATGTTAAAGTAACCGATTCTCTTTCACATACCACAGACTTATCTATATCGACTGTAACCTCACCTATAAATATAAACATAGTTAAATATAGAATAGAACATGTTAAAGTAACTGATGTTCCTTCATATATATCAGACTGATCTATATCTAAATTTCCCTCATAGCACGTTGCATGGTGTATGCCCGTCTTCATTAGCCCAGTCGGGGTAGTTATACGATGTAGTTCAGAACGAGTCGACCAGAGGACCAAGCAAAAATTTAAGAAAAGATAACACTGGGGGTCAGCAATTTTCAATTGTAACTGGCGTTAGTGAATTATTTATTTTTGTTTTGAAATGAAAACTTCCGGTATAGCTGGAAATTGCTGTTTTTGGTCACAATTTGCCAAAAAACATTACGATTAATGTTTTACCCTGATTTCAAAACGCTCCATTCAAAATGTCGTGCCTCTGATATTGGTTAGGTATGATAGGCCAAGTGGTCGTCTTAAAATCCTGCGGTCGTTTGGGAATGAATAAATGGTGTTGAATTTTCTGCGAGTTCTCCATAATTGTTCATTTTACACATGTTGAAAACTACTTCATTCTAAAACGTGTGTAGCTGCTTCTTGGCGGGTCTGGCATATAATTCCTTGGTGTGGTTATGAAGGTCATTCGTACAAGTATATGTGAGACGAAAAAAAACTGACCGACACTAAACCCACTAGTGTGCTACAATATTCTGATGTAAAAACCAGTATTTTCCATGCGATTCTTCTTTTACTTCGTGCCAAAGACGTTACTTTGGATACACCGAGATTTGTTAACCGTGTCTGTTGTCTACCCCACCCCACCCCCCCCGCCCCCCGTGTTCTCTCTAAACTTTCGATGTCTCGAAAACTCTAGATCAACCATTTTTTACTGTATGCAACAAAATGAAATTTACTATTACCTACATTGAGATATCTTTTAGCACATATCCAATCACGAGGCACACCATTATGATCCATTGATTAGGGTAATATTCCCCTTTTTCTTGAGTTTATTCCCTTATTGTTACTTTGTTTTTCATTTTGAGTTAAGTCTGTATCAGAGAAGTGGAAGCCTACGGGTAGCCCCCGCATACATTGACTTGATGTGCGTTCGTTGCATGAGATGTATACTGTGTCCTGTCCGTAAGTTTGTTTTGTATAATTGCTTGTGTGTAGTGCGCCCCCCCCCCCCTGCACTTTTTATATAAAGAAGTTCACAACTTACCTCTATACATAGAAACAAAAATGACCAACAAAATAAAAACCGTTGCAACATGCATATTAGCGATAAATAAACGATGCAGCATGCATACTACCAATAAATATACGTATTACAAACAAGCTGTAGATCTTCTAGTTTGATCTATTGTTGGCAGCGTGTACTATGACGAAAATAAATATAGGGTTGTTTACAATTCATATCTGCTCTTTATGAAAGCATATCTCTTACGTGCATTTGTATATTTAATTATTTCAATTCTATAACAAAGCGGGATATATGTTGAATAAAAATCTTTAATTGTATACAATAATCACAGCGTACATTATTCTATTTTCCATTTGGTAATTAAACAGAACTGTAACTGTTTATCTAATTAACACATGGTTAAACATTCTCGCATCTGAATGTTGACAAATACAAATATTATATGCTGCCATTCTTAAAGAACCATCATAAACCGTTGTGACATTAAAATATAGAGAGGTACGGGGAGTGTAGGGTGGGGGGGGACCAGCCATGTAGTTATGCCATTTTTTTCCTGATACAGTTACCTATTGTGACTTTTATGGATATAAATTTTCAAAGAGGTAAATTTAGCTATGGATCCTGTACTTATATGAATTACTATTAGTTTGTTGGGCTGAACGCAAATAATTTTCACAGTTGAAGAGGAAAAAAGTGTTAACTTTCTTAATACATTTTCCTGGGAAAAGCATTTTCTTTCGCAAACCGTCTTCTTTTTTCTATGAAATTTTAAAACTCTTGCTGGACTGATTGTTGTTTCCGATGTTTGAATGTGATTGATAACCGCGTGAAAACCATTGGCAATGCTTTCAGCAAATAGAACAAGTTTTACCTTGGATAGTTTAAATTATACGCGTTCTTTCATAAAGGAGAGTAACTGAGGTGATGGGATATCACTGCAATGTTATAAACTTCTCTTATTCGTCTCCGTTAGCTAAACATGAAAATATACATTTTTCTGTACTTAATTACCGTTATCATTGAATTACGATAAGCTATTTCAAATCAGATTAATGGAAATAGTCATCTACCCATCCCATCCCATCCCACTTCTCTTATTCGTCTCCGTTAGCTAAACATGAAAATATTCATTTTTCTGTACTTAATTACCGTTATCATTGAATTACGATAAGCTATTTCAAATCAGATTAATGGAAATAGTCATCTACCCATCCCATCCCACCCCACTCTGCACGGTTGAAGGCTGTGCAAAAATAACAGAACAGAAAGGCTATTTTAAAAGATTTCACAAACTAATAGTCTATTACTTTTGTGATAGGATCAAATATTGCTTCCATTATGAAAGGGAAAACCGAAATACACATGCCAGAGTTATTACAAGTTTTGCTAAGATAGCGTATTAAATTATGTATATAGGTCAATATAGTTTTAGTGCGTATATTGGACAATATAGTTTTAGTATAAACATTAACTGAATATCATAATAAACCACGTGAGTAGTTCGTTAGTAGGGGTTAACATCTTCTAGAATCGATGATGACGTCGCAAACGCATGTTGCCAAAGATACTTGAAAGTGTTTATTTCGTACCAAAGGGGTACTAAAAGGTTCAGAATTAACGATAAACTAGAGGGGTGGAGGCTGCGATTTACCATTTCCGTCCCAAGAAGGGTTTTCTTAGATAAGGGCAGTTTTTTTTAGAATAGTAACAAGTTGGTTAAAATGACCCACTGCTGACGACAATCTCTCCACTGCTTTATACAAATTACCGATGAAAATTACTGACAATAAGTTTTATTTGAAAGATGGAAAGTAGCATAATATTATGGTAATCGTCGCATTTGTAATGATCTTTTCTGGCGCCCCCTGACACCACCATAAACATTCACGGTGCCACTTTTGTGGACACTTCTGATGACCTGGCTGTTGTGGGCGTATGTGTCATTAAATGGCAACATATCTTTCTTGCCAGATACAGGGCGATTTGGGATGTGCAACATGACCTAAACCGTTGTATATAAGCCATGGGTATTCCGGTTTATAAGCGACAAGATATAGGGTCGCCCCAGAGTTTTCTAAGGGTACTCTAGAAATTTCCACCCCCATATACCATATTAGAGGAAAACATGATGAGGCTTACATTTTGGTAAAATAAAAAGTAAACATATTAAATGGGGTTCAGTAGCGTCCTACTGGTCTGCACCACCTCTGCTAATAAAGACTGACATACGGAAATAGTCTGTGCTATGAGGGCCATTTTCCCCATATAACGACAGAACTTCCTACTCTTCTTTCGAATTCAAACCGCGAGTGTTCTTTTACGTGCAAGACAATGTTCACAAGAGACCTCGGTGTTCGTTCATGTCATCTGAACGACCATACGCTGCTCCTTGTCAGGCCCTCTGTCCTGCACCACTAACTAAGAGCATCAGACACCATAAAATCCAGAGGAAGTTTCTCGGCCAACACCGGGATCGAATACGGCGCCTACCCAATGAGCCACCGCGGCACCCAATAAACATGTACACAGTGGATGGGCGAGTCAAAATATATTACTGGCCATTGATAAAGGTAGTGGATACATATTATTGTAAATTACATTCATGGACTATTGATAATAGCAGATATTATTAGTTGTATTAATTGGGCAGTAATTGGCATTATTTTTTAATTGTTCGCTGAATTATTGACAATAGCGAACACTATTGACAAGTAAAACAGGCCCGGGTGTCCAAAATGACACTGCATCGTTAAATAACCAGCAAAACTAATAATTCCCAGTAATAAATAACTTACAGAAATAGAATAATTTGGATAGTATGGGTTAATATGCGACTCAGTAAGTGGTATGGTTGATCAAGGGAGATAACTGGAATAGTCAGACATTGACAATCATATATTTTGCAAGTTATTAATCGACTTCTATACAACAATGTACAGCGAAGTCTGGTCACAACTTTCTTAGTCACACTCGTTCATTATATCATGTTATGACTCACAATAAAACGGTATAGACCGCATTCGTAGAGCTGCAAATATCGCTGTTTGTTATTTAAAGGCACATTGTTCCTATTCAATCAAAACAACAAATGAAATGAAATGAAATGGGGTTTAACGCCCTATTGTTCTGCTCCTAAACTGGGCTAATGAAGACGGGCATACGCCATACAGTGTGCTATGAGGGAAATTTTGCCCGGGCAGCGGCACCGTCGCCTACTCTTATGTCGAATTCCAACTGCCAAGTGATCTTTTACGTGCATTCAAATGTATACAGGCCCTCCGCCAGGCATCACTGACAAGGGGGAACCACGCCGGAAAATCTTGATGAACTTTCTCGGCCAATGCAGGGATCGAACACCCAACCTCCAGGCTAGCGAGCCAGCGTCTTACCCAGTTAGCCACGTGATCCCCTCAAAACAACAAACATTCCTATCAAAAAGTATACTGTCGAAACAATTATAAAAACTTATAAACCCTAATGAAAGTTATTGTTGCTGTTCGCGGTGTTTAAAGTCCGCTTCCACCAAGGGTGATATTGCGGACACGTTGCCTGTCCAACGAGCTAGAGCTACAGGCGCGACACCCTAGACACCAAGGTCATCCAGTGTGGTCGTGTTCACTTATGTCGAGGCATTATTCCGCAACACCACTGACCTTGAAGCAGTAAAAAGCTGCAAAAATGATCAATTTAAAAAAACAAAAGAGAATCTGTACAGTACAGGCGTATGCACTGTGCAATTATGCCGAGGCATAATTCCCCAACACCATTGTCCTTGCATAAAACAGATAAAAGCTGCAATACGAAAACTTTAAGGGAAAAAAAGAGAAAGTGAACTATTGCATTGTGGTATAGAGCAGCACTAGTGACACACGAATGGCTGTATGTAAATAGTGGTTGGATTTTAAAGAAATGAATGAAATATTCCCACCGTCGTTTTATATTGAACAACAAGGTCATTCTTCCTTCTTAGAATATAACTCTATTGTCTATTTTGAACTTAAAACAGCATGTGACTCTATTGTGTTGGATCGTAAGCAGCTTAAATGTCATCTGTACGAACATGAATTTAAAGGGGTTGTACTACTCTACATATATATACTCTTCAAAAAAAGTAGGGGGTATTCAGAAACAATACAAAACTGCGGAAACGCACTGCTGTTTTTATTAAAGGTAACCAGTGTATTTTAATAACAGACCTCTTGCCTGCACATGAACATAAACAGTTCATATGGGCGGCCTATCTGACGGCCCCATTTCACTCGCAAAGAGATACACTGTAAAAAGTGAAAAAGGACGTTTTTGATTTTTGTCTTAATAATGAGTATTTGCTCCACCAATCCTCAGACATTCAGCAATTCGTCGTGGCATGCTCCTAATTAACCGTCCAATCACGATTTGGGGCAATCTGACCCACTCCTCTTGCAGTGCCACGGCCAATTCTTGCAGTGTTGTTGGTTGACGTTGACGTTCGTCTCCCGATCAAATTAAACGTAACACACTAAAGCAATGATACGCTAAACAGTAAATCGTATGCAAAAACCGATAGGAACGCAAACATAGATGGGATAAACCAGCCAGCGGCGAATTTGACAATGAACACCTCCCACGTGTATGGCGCAGCTCAGTGGTTCTGTTCGGGCAATAAGTTCTTCATCTGTGAACATAGTCTCAAAGCATGCCAAGTGTCCATGACTATTTATCATATGACAACCTGCATAGGTATTTGCATTTCAATATCCCCTGCTTTTTTGGAAGAGTATATTATATTTTTGCACCCTTTGACTGGGCATTATCAAATCCGTGCGTGTGTGTGTGTGTGTGTGTGGGTGTGTGTGCGTGTGTGGGTGTGTGTGTGGATGGGGGAGGGAGTGGGGGGTGGGGTTTGCCTATCTTTAAGACGCTTTAACGTCCAGGTCCAGATCTGTCGATGATCTGCGTATTTAAATAGAACGTTTCTTTCAGTGTCTTGTTTTGCTCCAATGCAGTACGATTTTTTTTGATAACTAAAGTATAAAACAGTGTTAAATCCAAGTCGATTTACCAAAATATAGAAACGGTTCTTACATTGTGCAACCATTATTGCTCTTAATTTTACATGTGTACATGTACATTGCTGATTACTGTTGTAGTTACGGGAGTAATCTTTCTGTGAATAGCTTGCCTATCAGATATAACGGAGATAGTCTAATACAATTATGCCGAGAGCTATCTACTTTGAAAAGAGATCACTGTCCTGATTACCCGCAATAATGATTCTACCCCGTTTCACTGCTGTCTTACACGCAGAGATTAAATGAATCTTTTCAATTTTATTAATTGGAAACATAAACGGCCATACCTATACTTATTGTGGTGGACTAAAATCGTGTACTTGGGAGTTAAAATGTCGGTCAACTAATTTAGTGTGTGTTCTTAAGCGAAGCTAATTGTAGAAATGCAGCGTAAGTTTAGTATGGGATTAATACACGCCATGGGAAGATGCCCCATTTTAGGCCGACTTAGTCAATTAATCTTTGGACGAGCCAACCTGCCTTTGTGCGAACTAGCCCATGAAAAATGACACCAGACGGAGTGGGCATATATGTAATAGATGGAGATTATTTTCGGATTTGAAGCTGTGTCGAGAGTGATGTTGCCGCTTTAAAGTGCGCAGTGAATGACTGTAACATAGCATGGTGGTTACCTAAAATAGACATGGCATGGAAGTTCCTCTCTATAAATATACATAGCAAGTCCAATACAACAAAAATAAACATAACATGAAAGGTCCATAAAATAAACATAGCACTAAAGTTTTATAAAATCATTTTGAATGCATGCAAGAATCTAAATATAATGTTTATCCATTGTCATATTGCAATATCATCTATTTACGACTTGTGTAAAATGGCTGCCGAAATAATATGCTGCATAATTTAAAGTTTCATAGAATAGAGCTATATGACCTTTAAAATACATTTTCTGAAATGGCGTTATTAAATAGGATTACAATGGCGGATTGACTCAATATTTCAATGAATAAACCAGGTCTGCGCTATTCTTTTACCTGGTTATTGTGTAACACGTCTTGGTAATGAAATGTCGATTTTACCGGGTATTTATTGATTTTTTGACAGGTATGGGGTGATTAATGACATATCTATTCAATGCATGCACACAACGGGTTTTTCTGATTAAATGTTATGAAACTTCGACTAGGAAGTTGCCGCCATTTCAAATTACAGCTATTCACGTATACATAAATTCTCCTGCACGGCCGTGAATAGTCTTCCATTATGGTCCCGTTTACAAATAAATATACAAGAAATATCTTTATGTGACGACAGTCGTCAAAACAAACCATGGCTTATTGCTTATTATTCAATATTTAAACAGAAAATGGTCTAATTCAATTGTGCAGGACGAAGTGCCTGGCTAGAGACCTTGGAAGGGACAACTTTATAGGTGTTCAGATAGAATGAAAAAATGACGTCACGTGTATGTATTGGTGTGTGTGTTAAGGAGCCCCATTGCTAGTTGGAATTGCAAATAAGAGTAGGCCGTCGAGCTGCTGTCTGGACAAAATTTCCCTTATATCACCCTGTATGGAGTATGTCTGTGTTCGGTGCACACCAGTAGGATGTCAAACTTTATTTCAGATATTTTTGGGGGAAAACATTTTTTAGGGAAGTTATTAGAACTGTTCCATGCTAAAGTACTATTTTAGATAGTACGACCTGCAACGTATTATCAATGTTAGGTCAACGCTGTTTTCTTAAGTCGTGTTGTTCATTAACATTGGAATCTTGCCAAATGTAAGCACATTAAGCACATTTATTGTGAAGCTCTGAAAGCCAAACCATGGCAACTCTTCCTTGTTTATATACGAGCCAAGACTGGATTAAGATTATCATAACCATTAAATAATAATGAAATAATAACATAACAATTCTAAACTTTACCGTAAGAATGAAATGAGGTTTAAGGTCCTACTGTTTAGCTCCGACAGGGCGTAGAAAGACGGGCATACACCATACAGTGAGCTATGAGAGACATTTTGCCAAGTCAGCGGCGCTACGGCCTACTCTTATTTCACATTCCAATTGTCAATGGATCTTTTACGTGCACGCCAATATGTAAACTGGACCTCGGTTTTCCGTCATATCCGAAAGACTATATGTTCTCCCTTGCCAAGACCTCTGTCCTACACAACAGTAAAGGGGTAACCACAACGAAAAATACAGATTAACATTCTTGGTCAAGCGCTTCTGACGCCAATGTGTATGTACTGTTTAGGCTAGTAAGACGACACATCTTATACCAATGACAAAGGGGGACCTCGCGATTGTGAACCACCTTCGCAAATGCAGGGAACAAACAGGTGACCTCCAGGTTAGGGAAGCAACTACCTACACAATAACCCACAGTGGTTCATTATATTGTAGACGTATGCAAAGCTTTATAAATGAAAAGGTTATTATGGGCATACACATGTACAACAGAAGTTAGAGTGATGAGTATAGAAAACGAACGACAATCTGGCAGTATGACTGTCACAATGCGCATTGTATTGTATTGTTTCGTAATGTTTATTTCATGTTTCTATAATAATGCTGAATTGATATGGAAATATGAATTATTCCTTGAATGTGCAAACATTTAATACACGATCTAACAAACATACCAACAAGAAAAAGAGTTTTATTATTAAACAAAAAATTATTATGATACATCGTACGGATATATTATATAAAACTATGACAAAAAGTAGTAATTTAATTTAAAAAATATGAAAAATAGCAATTTATTATATAAAATTTAGTATTTTTGATAAAAAGTAGGCATTTATTTTTTAAAAATAATATGACAAAAAGTAGTAATTTATTATGTCAAAAAATATTTCAAAATATATTAATTTATTATATAAAAATAATATGACAAAAAGTAGTAATTTATTATGTGAAAAAATATTTAATAAAATGTTAATTTATTATGTATATAAAAAAAATATCACGACGTTATAATTTATTATAAATAAAAGATATGAAAAAAAGTAGTAATTTAGTATGTAAAAAGAGGGTCAAAAACCAACAAGCATTGTTTGATTATTCCATTAACGTCCAACATGAGACATATAATACAGTATCTAAAAATCAGTGATTCATTATATTTCTTTCGAAATATATGATAAAAAAAATATGCAAAAAGTTGCAATTCATAATTTTTAAAAAAAAAAAAAAATATGTTAAAGATTATTCATTTGATGTGTTAAAAATACTACAAAAAGTAATAAGCAATGTAAATTTCCGATATATACTGAGCGCCATAGAAAACGCATCACATTTTTTTCCCAAATATTTTATTACTAGGTGGTTTTGTATGTATAATATTATGCAATACTATGAACTATTGTTTTACACAATGCTCCCAAACACAAAAAATATCGGCCCGTGTGCAAAAAAAAAAATTGCACGAGATGCACATGAAAAACCCAATATTCATGTGCAGCGTTGTGTGTGAGCCCTTTAAAAGAATGTTTTCAACTTAATGTGCAGTACATGAACTGTGAAACGTCAATCTGTCGTAATTTGTTGTTGGACGTGTGAAGGAATCGAGGTAGAGATGCCGAGACTTACTGAAAATCAACGGAATGAAGCCATGGGAATGTCTACACGTGCTATTGCTAGACACTTCAATTGTCATCAGTCCACTATTGTAAGGTTGGTGGAACGTGTTCGAGTTACTGGATCAACACGTGATCGTCAACGTCCTGGTCCACAACGCGTTACAACCCAGGCTCAAGACCGCTACTTCCGGGTCACTCATCTGCGTGACAGATTCCGCCCAGCGACTCAAACAGGTGCAGCAGTCGTCGGAAGACAAGGGCCAGTAAGTGCCAACACCGTAAGACGTCGTTTAAGAGAAGTAGGACTCCGTGCACGACGACCTTATGCTGGAGCTATCCTCAGAGATCATCATCGTCAGCGGCGTTTGATATGGGCTCAAGGACACCAGACATGGAGAAGAGTTGACTGGCAAAGTGTGCTCTTCAGTGATGAGAGTCGCTTTCATCTTTATCACGTTTATGGCCGTCAACGTGTGTGGAGACGTCTTGGGGAACGTCTTGCAGACTGCTGCGTCTTCGAAACGGATCGATGGGGTGGGGGAAGTGTAATGGTGTGGAGAGGCTTCACATTTCATCACCGGACCGCCCTACACATTTGCAGGGGTCGCGTTAATGCTGTAGCCTACCGTGATGATGGCACGTGGAGGACACACGCGCTACTGACATCTGTGTCGTACTTTTGTTTTTGACCCCTCTGACTTTGTACCCTTGATTACAGATTAATCATCCATAAGTGTACAAATGTGTTGTTATTGATGAGTTCCCATTTGAATATTGTTCACAATAAGAAGCAAAATAAATAAGATATGTTTACAGGATCATTTTGTTATACGAAAAACTAAGTGATGCGTTTTCAATGGCGCTCAGATATAAGAAGTTATTCTGAGAATATCCTGTCTTTTGTATAACATCGATACTTGAAACGAAAAAGAACGTTTGAGTTTAAATTCTGTAGTATAGGTCAAGACACATGTCTATTATTGATTATGCCAAAACCCGCGAATGAATCTGCTAATTCAGCTAAATGGGAATATAATTTGTTTTCTGGATAATCTTACGTTCTTGGGTAAAAGGTAACGTCGGGTCCAAAAGGTCACCTTCAGATTCCCGGTCTGGTGGTTAGAATACATGAAAAGTGGTATAAGGTATTCTAACAACAGCAAGCACATCCTGCCTCGATAATGACAACCTGATATATAATTACTAATATAAAACATTTGGATTAAATTTGTAACTGGTATTACATTATCTACAAATACTTCAAGATTTAAGATTCTTCGCTTACATTTATATAAGGACTTGATACTTGGTCACTGGCGAGTGATGTTTCAACTAAATTGCTATATGGACTAGATACTGGTGTACCTCTGGATAGTTCACCTAAATTGCTATATGGGCTGGGTAATGATTCACTCCTAGTACTTAATTCTAGGCTGCTGTAGACTTGCGAATCTGAAAAAGTCAAATGAAAAAACAAAATATCAATTTCATATCCTTCTTATACATCTTGAAAGCACTATTTAATTTTATAAACATGATCATAAACTCGTATATAGTCAGTATTTCTTTGGCTAAATATTATCATGATATGGCGGGTGTTATTACAGAGATTGTCAGAATTGCTTGGACTAAATATTATCATGATATTGCGGGTGCTATAACAGAAATTGTCAGTATTTCTTGGACTAAATAGTTTCAAAATATGGCGGATTATATTCCAGATATTATTAGTATTGTTGGCTGAATATCATCCTGTTCGTGAGTGTATGTTACCTTACCTCTCCGAAACTACCACTGACATACCGATAGCAATATTTAATCTACTTACTGATTGCATTGTTTTCACTTGCTCTGTAATAAATAAAGTAATATTCTCGTAATCAGACATTATTTTTACAATTAACGTAACAATACAATATCAAAACCATCACGTCTTAAGCCACACTAATATGTATTCAGTTAACATTAATCAAAATACCAACGCTAAACGAAACACTACGAGGAGTATGGATAATACCCCGACTTTGATTCAATCGGAGTTAAAAAAACAAAGATATATCATTACATGAACAGCAATATGGCAGTGGGCTAATAACACATTTCCTTGTAATTACTAAACTGATATTCAAGTTTGAGATTCATCGTTCGCAATACTGTAGTTGATCACGTGGCTAAGTGGGTAAGACGCTGGCTCACTAGCCTGGAAGTCGGGTGTTCGATCCCTACATTGGCCGAGAAAGTTCATCCAGATTTTCCGGCGTGGTTCCCCCTTGTCAGTGATGCAGGACGGAGGTCCTGGCAAGGACAGCTGTCTAGTCCTTCGGATGAGACGAAAAACCGAGGTCCCGTGTATACATTGGAATGCACGTAAAAGATCCCTTGGCAGTTGGAATTCGATATAAGAGTAGGCGATAGTGCCGCTGCCCGGGCAAAATTTCCCTCATAGCACACTGTATGGCGTATGCCCGTCTTCATTAGCCTAGCATAGGAGCAGAACAGTAGGACGTTAAACCCCATTTTATTTCATTTCATTTTCCAAGTGATCCAATAGCGCTAAATGACGCATCGGGACTTAATATCTTCCATTTGACCATGACAAAAGTTAATACTTTGATCAATACACAAGTATATGATTCTTCAATATCACATAATCACTGTAGAAGCGTCACTTACCCAGTGGTCCTAGTGTTGCCTACAATTAAAATAAAACCATGCAATATAAGGAGAAAAACACATACAATATAAGGAGAAAAACACATACAATATAAGGAGAAACACACATACAATATAAGGAGAAAAACACAGGAGAAAAACACATACAATATAAGGAGAAAAACACATACAATATTTTTCTCATACAATATAAGGAGAAAAACACATACAATATAAGGAGAAAAACACATACAATATAAGAAGAAAAATCAAACGATACAATTTAAGAAGAACAATGAAACGATGTAATATAAGAACAATCAAACGATGTAATATAAGGAGAACAATAACTCGATCACACAACTATTTGGGTGAAAAAAATGTATATTTAAAAGATCGGAAGCCGGACTCTATATTTGAAAAACGAAAGAATCGAATCGTCATATTACAAGTTTCGGTTTAATTTTTATCAATAATCAAATTTAATCACCTTTCAGGGTTGAAATTTGTTTACGTTGATAAATCACCACAATGATAAGAACAATACTTGTTACAACAGCAAGACATAAGAACACGATCAAGGCGATATCGTTGCTGTCCTCGTTTTGATCTGAAATATAAAATAAAGCATTACTTACAATCTATCTAGATTATCCCGGTTGGTGAAGTAAAGTAGGGCGAGTAGACACTGTCCTTGCTAGTAACTCTGACAAGTGGAAACCTGAGAAGCTGGAAAATGCCGGGGAACTTATTCCAACAACATCGGAATCGAAATCGCTCCAGTTAGTAAGCCAGTGCCTTAATGAGCCACCGGGGCTCCTCACTAACACGGGAAATCATAGAGGAATATTCAGGATACCTTTCTCGGCCAATACAGCGATTGGACCAATTATCGCTGGTCTTACACACCGTGGCTTCTTTATGCTAGGTCCACGCTGCCGTACGATTCATTACGGTATGATTGCTGTCCCTATTAAATCCATGATCTGGTACGTTCGGGTAAGTCAACACGATTGCTACGACTGACCACAATATATGATGAGACCTGATAGGATCACCCCGATTACTCAATGATTAAAAGCACAATTTCAACCATAGAGTGAATCTTGATAGTGTGTCCCTAGCATAACAAAACTGAATCAGTGTATTTATCTGAACTATATTACATATTGTAATTACACATTCCATTCTCACCAGATTTACGTGGATCAGCTGATGTTCGTATCACCTGATGAGTCACCAGATGGACTGGTGTTGATGAACCAAACTTGTTACTAGCAATGACTCTCACAAAGTACTCGGTGTCTGGGATGAGGTTTTCTATACATCCGTTTAAAACATCGCCTTCTTTAGTTAGTTCTAGTGTCGGTGCGTTCATCCAAGTTTTTTTGTCGGCAGAAAATTCAAAAATAAACTTCTGGGTATCTCCACCATCAAAACCTGGTTTTAGCTTAATGCAGATCGAACTGTGGGATAAACTGTCCAATATAAATTCACTGGGTTCATCTGGACCAGCTAGACAATAAAATCAACAGAATAGTTTATATTAAATTTACTATTATTATTATATACACGACTGTTATTTTTTTTCTAGTTGAATAAACAATGTATTTTGCAAAATCGATCTTTAAATTAAAATCGACAAAATAGTATGTATCATAACACGGCTGGTGTTGGCATTATATGTGTTGCAGACAATCTAGTTAGAAATATATAAAATATACTTACTCTGTAAAGTGAGTGCTATTGTAATTATAATATGGTTAATATCATTGGTAATGTTGACTTTATAATCTCCATACAGTTCAGATGAATTGATCTTAACATTTAAAGTTGACATAAATATATTAGTAGAATTAATAATATCTACTTGTTGATACAGTCCATCGTTTAAATTAATAGGTTTATCCAGTCTATACCATGTAAATGTTGGTTGAGGATAGGCCAGTATACTGGCAGATAGTTGAACTGTTTCAGAAACATTACCAGACACAATTCTAGTAGCCGACTTCGTGTTAGGATATTGACGAGGAGAACCTAATTTATAAACAACATACGTACTATTGTTACAATAAGATCTTTCAGATAACAATACAATGTGAAATAATGATGCTAGGATTACTAGTATATGATCTGTTTTATTATTTTAAATATGGAACACTCAGTTTGATAGCAATCACCAACAAAGATGCAGACAAAAAAATATATATTTTAATATTCTTGGACAAAAAGGGGATGAAAACTACATTTACAATAACAAAGATGTCAACTCAAATCCTTTTAGATATAACGAAGCATACGACTCATTTCTTTCATTTGTCTTATTTGCGTTCGACCTTTCCAGATATTCAGCCCAAATTGCTTGTATGATTCATGATGTATCATTAATTGTTATTATTAATTATTAGACTCATTATAATAACAATAAACTTACATCGTATATTTACATCTTGTGTTTTGGTAACGGGTGTCTGTATCTGACTATTAACAGCTGTACATGTATATATTCCTGTATCTAGACAATCAGCTGTAGCTTTATAATATTTGATAGAATTGGTGGTTAGTTCTTTAGTATTACTATCTGGTGTAGACCATGTCATGGTAGCTATAGGGTTACTATTGGTAGAACACGACAAGTTAAACGGCTGACCTTCATCTACATCAGTTTTATCAGATTGTATAATGACTTGATCCAGATCTGATTATAATAATAGAAAACCTGGATCTTATTTAAGAAAGTTAATTCTGAACTATTGTTATATAATGACTTATCCTATTAACTAGAACATGAATGGACAATAGGGTGGTTATTTGTTTCAAACAACATTAAGCATTCTCTGTAGCTTGTAATTCTGAAGACGTGGCATGTAGCCGTGCAACAAAATTGTTAACTGTTCGAACTTCTAATTTTTTTACAGATAGGGACAGCATAACTGTTAGAATTTCTCCATGTGTTACAGATAGGGGCGGGAACACAATAAAAGATTCATTTAATTAGCTACTTACATCGTACATCAACTCGTACAGTTTCACTATCTGTTATAGTTTGTTGATTACCATTAGTAGGTTGTAATACTGTAATAGCTGTACAGTTATATATACCATATTGATTTCTGTTGATATTATTTATAACTAAATCTTTATTATTAGATACTACTCGACCATCTGGATCATACCATCTAATAGTTGATACAGGATTGGAATCAGCTGTACAACTTACACTTAGACGCCTTGATTCTTTTATAGCAACGGACTCACTTGATACAGATACTGTAGGTCCATCTGAAATGTATGTTTGAGATCCGTGGATAGAAGATACGAATTTGTACCGGACTACTCAATGATTTACAAAATTCCTCGACAGTTAGAAATTCGTATTCTTATCTAATTATTCAGATATCTAATTTTGATTGTATCATCATATATAAAAAGTATACAAAGGCATGCTTGTTAGCAATGAACCGCATGGTTGTTTCCCTATATGAATAACTCCTAGCCTTAAACATAACGCAACCCTTTACACAAGGGGTTGAGGAACTGACGTTTCTATTGTTCAGAAAGATGTCTATAATATATCAATAGCCCAATTCCTGTACTCTTTATTTTATTATTATATTAACATAACTTCACATGAACATGGCACTCTTCACTAGCTATAGTTTAGATAATCTGGACTACAGAAGCCTAATGCTCGGAAATATTTCAAATTTCATAAATACGTCAGGGTTTTCACTTTATCCGAATAAGTCTAAGATACTTACATAAAACATCAATCGTTGTCTGACTTGTACCTGTACCTGTTTGTTGTATATTAGTAGATGTAGGTATCATGATATTAGTAGCTGTACATCTATAAACACCTGTCTGATTCCTCTTTATATCAGGTATATTTAATGTAGCACCAGTAGAACTATATCCACCAGGGCCAGTCCATCTATAACTAGTAACGGTAGGGTTACCAGGGTTACCTGAACAAGTTATAGTTAATCCAGTAGATTCTAGTATTTTATATAAAGATGGTGTGGACACAGTAGGTGGATATAAAACATCAACTTGTACAGATGTAGATGTTCCTGTTCCAACTCCATTATTAGCTGTACATGTATACTGTCCAGCTTGTGATCTCTGTACTGACGTCAGACGGAATACAGATGACCTTTGACCTGTAATACTGCCACCATCTTTACTCCAGGTAAAACTGGTAGGTTGTGGATTAGAATCATCAACAGTACAGGTTAAAATCAGTAGATTACCTTCTATCAATTTATAAAGACTGGTTGATGGTTCTATATGTACTGTTGGTCGATCTGTAATAGATAACATGTAAAATTCAGTTGATTGCCTACTATTATTTTATAAGGACTGGTTGATGGTTCTATGTGTACTGTTGGTGGCTCTCTAATAGTTATTATATACAAGTAAATCATGAAAGGAGTAATGGAGAAACAGGTTAAAGTCAGTTTAGAATCATCTGTTATTTTATAAGGACTGGTTAACGTGTACTCTGAAATAGTACTATAGCATATTTTATATGTCATTATAAATGAAATGAAATGGTGTTGAACAACCTACTGTTCTGCCCAGGCTGGGTTAATGAAGACGGGCATATAGTGTTGAATGTGGCAAACTTTGCCCGGGCAGCGGCGCTACGACCTACACTGCCAAATTCAAACTACCAAGGGATATTGTACGTGCACGCCACGCTTTTCCGTCGCATCCGAACGACTAGACAGCTCTCCATGGCATGCCCTCCGTCCTACTCCACTGACAAGGGGACAGCCCGCCGGGGAATCCCGAAGGAATTTCTAGATCATCACCTGGAGTAAAGCCCGCTACCACCAGGCTAGCGAGTCAGTGTCTTCCCCACTTGACCACCGTGGCTCCCCATCTTATATATTATCATATGATACATCGTATATATTATTATAACTTACATGTTATATATTATTATATTTTACATCTTATATATTATTATAACTTACATCTTATATATTATTATATCTTACATCTTATATATTATTATAACTTACATCTTGTATATTATTATAACTTACATCTTATATATTATTATAACTTACATCTTATATCAAGAGTGATATTATCTGTGTTACCAGTACCACACTGATTGGTAGCCGAACAGTAGAGTTTTTTATTGTTCAGTTGCTTGGTACTGGTTAATTGAAAGATACTAGCTGTTCCACCATTTATAACACCACTAGACTGTCCTGTTAGTACATTATCTGTAGAATCTATATACCACGTGAATGAAACTGTTGAATCTATAGTTCCAAAATAACATGTGACCTCTGTTACCATACCATCAGTAAATAATAATCTATTTTTATCTTTTATTGTACTTGATGCTGCGGCTGAAATAATCATAAAACAAACAGTAGGTATTTAGACAAGCCGCTCCCCATAATATATTACACAACAGAAAATATAATAGGGTGTAACAAATGTAGTAAATGTAAGATTCACCTTTAATCTTGAGATTTGTACTGTTAGAAATGCCCCCAGCCTGACATTGCCATTCTCCCTCGTCTCTTACTGCTGATGTACTGTTGATATATACAATACTTATACTAGTATCAGTATTATAATCAATGGCTATATTATAACCAGCTGTTTGATCACATCTAGTTCTACAAGATGAAAATGTCACATCATTTCGTCTCCATAAAATCAAATCTGGTGGATTAACAGAGCATGTTAATGTAACTGATGTACCTTCACATACATCAGACTGATCTATATCTACAGTAACCTCACCTATAAATATAAACAGTTACACAAAGAATAGAACATCTTAAAGTAACACGAGTGTGGTTAGGCGTTCGAATACATGTAAATAAAGAATTCCTTGACACCAATATCTTAACAGTGATATGATTCCAGGTATTTTAGTGACGCTAAAGAAATCACATTATTATGCTGAGATTTAAGAACCAGTTATCTATACATAAACACACAGTGATGAATATTTTAATAGTTATTAGTTAAAAGTACATTATGTAAGATTTAGTTAAAGAGCTGACCATTCGTGCTCAAAATAGATAATGTAAAATGAAAATATTGAACATTTCATTCAAATTACTTAATTCTGAGCCAGGTTATCACTGTTTTTAGTTTTGACAAGATGTGTGCATTGTGGTAACCAGGGCACCGGTATATTCGAGACTTAGACTAGCTTTCCCATTTTGAATTTTTAAATGGCGAACCGTTCTAATCTAGTTATAATTTAGAGTATCCGATGCCATCTAGAGTCTTGTTTTGTTAATAAATGTCTAATTAATAATTTATATAACATTTCAGGCCTAAAGAAACACCTGCAATAGGCATATTTAGCTCTTGAATAATGTATGTTTAAGTCATTACATCCCTTTGCTTTATATTTGAGATTTGAGAAGAAACGATTTACAAGATGTAAATCTTAGAATTAGAAATGGTTTCCAGGTATATCAGTCAGTGACAAGGAGTAGTGTCGCCTGTCCAACCTCGTGTGTTTTCTCCGGTTTCCGTCCACCGCTAAAAAAAACCCTACGCGCAAGCAAATTATTGAAATGAAATTGAACTATATGTTAGTTCCGAAATGACCTAGTTTGTGTCGATTGGACGTTAAACCCCATTTCCCTTTCTCTCTCTCATTTTACAGTCAGCTGATTTGATGACACGCGATAAATATGCTTATCTTGGATTTATAAGCATATATTGTTATACAATACGATTGTGTGTGTTTCTTATTTTACTGAGCATGATAGATAAACATGTATAAACAACCTACCTCTGTACATGGGCATTAACAAGGCTAAGAAAATATAAAACACTGCAGCTGGCATACTATCAATATATATATTTATAGTATTACTATCTTTAACAAACTACCATAGATCCACGTTTTTTTAAACTTTTGTTGACGCTGTGCATAATGACGAAATTAACCACAGGGCTATTATCTGATCTATGAAAACGACTATATGTGTTTGAATACATACAATATAAAAGTAAAACATTTATCTTATGTACAAAGTGAGATTTTGTAATACAATATAACATTTGTTATTTGGTATTTAACGAGATCGTATTGTATCCTTGAAGATTGAATAGTTGATAGACTAGTAGCTATGTGTCTAATTAACACGTGATAACAATCTGATACTTAACAAATACAAATAGATGCTATGGTTCTTTAAGAATCACCAACGTTCCGTATGGAGAGACATTTTAAATAACGACATCAAATAAAAAAGATATCTCACATCATTGAGCTGTATATAATTCCTTTATGCATGACGTTAGACAGAAAGAGAGACGGGGGGTGGGGACTTTGTTCTTATGAACCAGCCATGTAGGAATGAATGCTCCTGTGCTTTTACATGTGCTACGTACTGATATCATTAAGGATTGACCACTATTTATTACCCTCTCTACCTTACTCCGTATGGTTCAAGGCTACCCCAACTACCAAAATGTAACCTCTATGAGAATTAAACACAGTTTAAACGCAGATTTTACAAACTAAGCTAAGTTAATTACTGTGTGATGGAATCAAATATCACACGGGATGTTCACATCGAAAACTCTTTCGGGTATGCTGGAATTCAGAAATTTTGCTCGAAGCCCATAACGCCCAAGTGCTTTAAATTCTTTAAAAATGCGAAGCCCGGGAACACTTAATAACTAAAGTAACCTAATCAGAACCCTTCCGATGATGCTCCGATCTAGAGAAGTTTAGAATAGTATAAGGCTATGAGCTGGTAGTAGAACGACGGAATCCAGCTGTCTGTGCACTTATCGTACAGCCCCAGGTCTCGTCAGTGTCGGGCATAGATGAAGAGATGCTCTAGGTTATTCAACTATGAAATAGACAGATATTGACAATTACATTTGTTGTACATTTTAGGCAAGTTTTCCAGGAATCAACTCAATTCTGTTTTATTAATTGAAGTATTGTGTTAATGAGTCACAATATTAAGGTAATTAAGGTGATAGTATCTGGTAGTATTTAACTAGTATTGGGTAATATTGGGTAGTTTTAGGTAAATCACCCTGCCCATTCATAAAAGCAAAAGTACAACAAGAACTAACAGTTTGGGGAATTCCCCGGTGATTACTATGGTCGATGTACATCAAGAATTAAGAATTTGAGGGAAACCCCCGGTGATTTATATGATGGGTGTAACACAAGAATTAATAGTTGAAAGGGATTCCCTAGTGATTGTATATTATTAATGAATAACGCGCTCGATTTCTTTATAACAAATATACACTTTCCCTAGTCGAACTCGTTCATTGTCCGGCTTTATGACTCACAATTAAACTGTATAGATCGTATTCGTCATTTGTTATTTAATGGCACAATATTGCAAATCAAACAAAAGAACAAATAATCTTACAAACAAGCATAATATTGTGACTCTCATTATATTAACTAATACATCCTAATAGAAGTTGTTGTTGTTATTTGTATTGTTTAACATCCGTTTTCACCGACTGTGACATCGCAGACAATATATCTGACCGGCCAGTTAGAGCTCGAAGCGCGACAAACTAGGTCACTCGGCCATCGCAACCCATAATAAAAGATATGGTAATCTACAATTTATACAGTTTATATTACTCTCCGCTGTTAAATTTCATGCCACCATCTTTAATTTCTTGTGTTCGGTGTTTATTTTTTCGTCCTCCACCTTATAAAGCTAAGTACTATTAAAATCAGTTAGCTTGCCTGTCTATCCCTTACAGTTTTTGGACCCCCCCCCCCCCAGAACAGTAGAACGTTAAACCCCATTTTTTCTCTTTTTCTTCTTTTGGGGCGCTAAATGACTCTGCGACTGGTTGAATTAGAATGTCCAAACTTGGTATTGATGTCCATTCTTGGGCGAATGTCTTAGCTTACTCAGAGATGAGCATTTGGTTGGTCAAATGGAACATGATTACTTGGATTCTAGTGTTATGACTAATTTTAGATTTATCGAGTATTTGGAACACCATAGCTCTAACTGAGTGGGAGTGATAAACCTTCGGCCAAACGCTGTTAAAAGCTTTACTGGTATCTCAGAACACAGTTCCCGTATATTGACCTTGCACATTATAATATTATTGGGATCCTTACAGAAATTAAAAACATATTTGTAGATCCAGGTTTCCAAAATTTTGATTATGATGCTCAATAAAGAAACTGGTCTGTGTTTTCCGCACAGTGATGGGTCGTCTTTTTTATGAATTGTCATTACATTTGCTGATTTCCAAATATTAGGAATGGATTTTAGTTCAAGTGAAAGATTAAAGATATTACATGAAGGTTTGCTAACTTCGAAAAAGATGGATTTGAGAGATTTGCCACTGATGTCATCAACCTTTTTAGTTGTTAGTTTTAGATGATAGAAGGAAATAGGATTTGTTCGAGATCAGGAAATTGTGCATTTGTGTAGTCAGGCTGTTATTAAAGTATTCGTTCAAACAGTGTACTTTGGTTGAATATCCCCCTTTTGAGATTTATGACTCTTCACAAACGAGATGACTATATGCTACCAACTCGTTTTGCCAAATTTTGAAAATCATTTAATTTCTTGTCTAATTTGGGATAATTTTATTTTTTTTATTTTTTGGCATTTTCCAATCAAACTAATATAATTCCTAATATTTCTAGTCATGTAGATACAAGAAAAAGTGTAGATAATTGTTTGAGTGTGGAAGAATAATAATACTCGTCACAACCATTGTCCATGAAACAGTAAGAAAGCGATCATTTTATGGCCAAACATTGATGGTTCGTATAAATATGTTTGAGAAAAAACCGTACAAAGGCACCGTTAACAAAGGGATTTCATTTTTAAATATGTATGTATTGTTTTCCCCTATCCCTTATATAGACCCACACGACAATTCGTCCTTTATAGACATCATATTTAACTTAAGCTACTTAGTCATCAGCTTAGGAAAGTGGACGATGTGTTTGTTGTTATGAAGGAAGAGGAAGATCACCAACTACTACTCCACCACCTCAACTCAATCCATCCCCGAATACAATTTATAGTTGAAGAAGAAAATAATAAACAACTACCCTTTTTGAACATCCTAATTGATAGAAATGATGATAAATTAACTACAAAAGTGTATAGAAAACCGACTCACACAGATCAATACATTAATTTCACTTCAGCCCACCCAACAACAACCAAGGCAGGAATAGTTTCGATACTTACCAGAAGAGCTCACAATATTTGCACTGATGACAAAATTGAAGAAGAAATTGAACAAATTACTGAATCTCTAACCAAAAACAACAACTACCCATTAGAATTTGTCAAAAAAGTTATTCATAGTACCACAGAAAAACTGAACAAAGCCCCAAACGTGACAGGTAAAGAAAAGGCTCCAATTCATATCAACATTCCATTTATAGGCCCAACAAGTTATAAAATTAAAAGATTACTAACTAGATTGCAAATAGATGTAACATTTAGTGGGGGGATATCATTAAAATCACTCATCAACGCCCATGGGAGAACAAAAATACCAACAGTGGACCCAAAGGGTATAGTCTACCAGATCCAATGCGATTGCAAATCCATTTACATAGGCGAAACATGCCGACCATTATCAGTGAGACTCAAAGAACACAAAGCAGCAACTAGACGTATGGAACCAAACAAATCTGCAGTAGCCGAACATATTATAAACAATCCTACCCATAACATAGAATGGGACAACACCAATGTGCTTACCAAAAATATTAAAGTATGGAAGAAAAGAGTTTTGTGGGAAGCATTAGAAATCCGAAGACAAAATCCAAAAATGAATAAAGACAATGGAAGAGCCATTTCTAATGTATGGAATGAATTATTTTGTTAAGCAAGTTATTATCTATTATTGGAACTATTTATAAGTATTATACAATAGGATACCATAAGTATTAATTATCAGTGAAGTAAAATTAAAATAATTTTTTATCAGTGGAGTGGATCTATAAGTTATTATTCGTATCAGTGGAGTGGAAATTAAAAATTTTATTTATCAGTGGAACTATTATTTATAAGGGCTACTATAACTTATTTATTTGTTCTATTGGAACAATAATTAAAAATTTTCTATATAATAATATGGTAAATGTATGAGCAAGAGGGGGTGGGTTCAACCTAACTAATTATGCATAATGTATTGAAATTAGTCATATTAAATATTTGATGGTGTGGTTAATGGGTTTTGATTGCATTTTAGCTTAGGCGGTGGCTTCAATCCCCACTTTTAACACCTTAGATTGAAGAAAAATGGTAAAGCCATACACAAAGGGAAATGTTTGTTGTTATAGTCTTAATTAATGTTATGTTTTTATTGTTAAATGGTTCTTACTCATGGATGTACTATAAATGTAGAGTTGTTATTCATTATTGATCATTGCTTGATAAAGATACCTGTAAGAGTATTGAAACGTTGCATGTAATAAACCAAGAAGTAGTAAATCCATAAAGTTGTGTTATTATGAATATTATACCTCTACTTCTAAATGTCATTCAAGGAACTTATTGTGACTTCAATAAAAGAATATAAATATTATGCTGGTCCATTGTCAGTAATAAATGTTAATCTCATTTTGCGACTTCAGTGATCTTGTGTAAAATGGTTGCCAAATTTAAAGTTCCAAAGAATAGAGCTCTATGTCTTTTAAAATACATTTTCTGAAAAGACGTTATTAAATAGGATTAAAATAGCGGATTGAATGATTTAAATACAGGTAGTCAAAATAAACCAGGACGTAACTATGAATCAGCATTTCAATAAGCATACAGGTCTACTCAATCCTGTTACCTGGTTATTGTGCAACACGTGTTGGTAATGAAATATCGATTTTACCTGGGCCCTGTTTCACGAAATTTTAACTAAAGATAAAATTTGTACTGTCACATGTACAAATAAATATAAAAGAATTTTTTTTTTTTATTTTTTCTGGTTGGTAATATACTAGGATCTATTGTTCAGTTTGTTCAGTATAAGCATTATGTGTCAATAGTGCTTGTAACAATAAACCTGGGCCTATTTTTCAGTATAAAAACATGTCTATTTTGTAATAGACCGAATCTTTTTATCCTTTAAATCTCCCGTGTTCAATCAGCCCCGCGCAGATGTGTATAGAAATTCTTGGGGAAAACATATTTTCGGGAAGTAAAGGAAATGAAATGGGGTTTAACGTCCTACAATTCTGCTCCGACTGGGCTAATCAAAAGTGATCAGAAATGTTCCATGTCATTTTCGATAGCACAAAGTCCATCGTGCTTTAGATAAATGTTACGTCATCAACCTTATTGTTCATGAAAATTGGGCCCCTGCCAACTGTAAGCATTAAGATTAAAACGCAATTATTGTGAATCTTTAACAGCCAAACCAAGGGAACTCTTCCTTGTTGATGTACACAAGACAAGACTGGATTAAAGTTACAATAGCAATTTAATAATAAAGAAATAATAACACGTGTACAACAAAAGGTAAGATTTATTTGTAAGACTTAAGGTGAGAAGTATAGAAAACGAGTCTAGAACTGTAATTGTCATAATACGTATTGTATTATTTATGCTATGTCATGTTTCTATAATAATGCTAAATCGTTTTGGAAATATGAATCATGTGCTAACATATAATAAAAATTCACTAATATATTTCAAACAAACGAGAAAAAATAATAATTCATTATATAAAACAAAATAATGATTAAACGTAGTAATTCATATTCATAATATTAAAAATATGACACAAAGTAGTTTTTTTAAAAAAAACATCAGGGTTAATTTGTTGGTATTACATCTACATTAACATATGAGCTGGGTAACGTTTCAGTTCCTCTATTTATTCCCAAGCTGTCATATGTACTAGGTAACGATTCACTCCTGGTATTTAACTGCAAAATGTTATATGTTGATGTTCCTGAAAGACAGAGTATACATGACATACACTTATTACATATACGACCAGAAAATGAAGACAGTTTATTTCATTTGTTCAATATTTCACTGAAGACTTCAATCAGTTATATCTTTAGTTCTTACAGGACAGGATAACATTGCTAGCATTTAAATTAATTATTCATATTTTGACACGGATAAAATAACTTTAACATTTATTTAGGAAGCACTCACCTCTTGTATTGCTTTCGCCATTTCTTCTGTAAATAATAAATATAAAACCAATGACAATGAATTACATTACACAGATTCAGAAAAAGAAGTTTTTAATGCATTTGTTGCGATAATAGATTAGACTTCGTTTCCGAATACAACCAAAAAATGATTACGCGCCATTTAAATACAAAAAGAAAAAACTTACACGGTCGCTCTTTTATCATCTAGAAAATAAAATGAAAAGTACATTATCAATACATTAAAATGCTGTAAAAATTCAGAATTTTATTCACAATACTTTTAAATTGGTGCAAATAGATGTTGTGAAAAATGACATTGTGGGTACATTTTTAAAAACTAAATAAATGATTAGCTTTTAAGTTTTATATAGTTTTAATTTATTTGTGAATATAACACTAGAATTACCTTTATACGATCTCCGTTTACGGCGCATGATCAACAGAATTATTAAAACGATGCATACAATTACAGAGATACCTAAGCAAGCACCCAAAGCTATGAGTAGACCATTATCATCACCTCCTGTTGTTGTTGCTGCTACTGCAAAAATAATAATGTCTACTTGCAAAGTTATATAAGATTGCACTAATAAAATAATGAAAAATATTTTGATGATTTAAAACTTATTTTAGTTTTCAAACATTTGATGACTGCCCTGCTCTTTATATAAAACATACCTGGTACTGGAGATGTTCTAATTGGTTTAGCCGTCACCAAAGAGAGAGGCTGTGATTGACCAAACCTGTTTTGGGCTATAACTCTGATATAATATACTGTATTAGCATCAAGGTCGGTAATACAGTAGTCAATTTCTTGTTCGCCTCCCTGTTTTACAGCTCCAGATAAAAACCAGACAATATTATCAAGTGAGTACTGAAATAAAAATTCCTGGCCTTCTCCATTATTTAAACCTGGTTGTAATTCAACACAGTTAGAATCTTGGGTTACACGAACTAATTTGAAGTCACGTGGCTGATCGGGTACACCTGAAAAAATAAAAAGATTAACAACAGTGGGACTAATGTCCTCAGAGTCAACACCAAACTAGAAAAAATGGCACTCATTAAGTATTTAAACATTTATTATTACATCCATTATCAGACTTCTTAACCCCAATCAGGGTATTTTTGATGTAAGAAATCTTTAACACATTAACGTCACCTAAGGAGAAAATGGTCAATGTATTTATGTAATGACGCGATACTCCATGTTCCATCACTCCCACCCAAATTGGCTTGTTAGTATCTGTGTTAATTTATAGAACATTTTTATTTATCTCCTTATTATATATAACCATATATATGTTTCAAGACACTACATATACTTACCAGAAAGTTTCACTGAAACCGCTTTGCTGTCTGTTTTAGTTTGTTGATTACCATTAGTAGGTTGTAATACTGTAACAGCTGTACATTTATATATACCAGATTGATTTCTGTTGATATTATTTATAACTAAATCTTTATTATTAGATACTACACGACCATCAGGACCAGACCATTTTATACTAAAAGATATAGGATTAGAATCAACTGAGCAAGCGATAGAAACTGTTTCTGACTCTGCTGTGTAGCTATGATCTGTTGGTAAAGATACCTCGGGTCCATCTAAAACAAATAGTAGAAAACATAAATATACTTGATTTATATAAGTTTTATGTTTCTGATAAATACAGATACTAATACAGTATTATATTTAGGATACGTGAAATACAAGAGATACTTACATAAAACATCAATCGTTGTCTGACTTGTACCTGTACCTGTTTGTTGTATATTAGATGTAGGTATCATGATATTAGTAGCTGTACATCTATAAACACCTGTCTTACTCCTCTTTATATCAGGTATACTTAATGTAGCACCAGTAGAAATATATCCACCAGATCCAGTCCATCTATAGCTAGTAACAGTAGGGTTACCGGGGTTACCGGAACAAGTTATAGTTAATCCAGTAGATTCTAGTATTTTATATATAGGTGGTGTGGACACAGTAGGTGGATATAAAACATCAACTTCTACAGATGTAGATGTTCCTGTTCCAACTCCATTATTAGCTGTACATGTATACTGTCCAGCTTGTGATCTCTGTACTGACGTCAGACTGAATACAGATGACCCTTGACCTGTAATACTGCCACCATCTTTACTCCAGGTAAAACTTGTAGGTTGTGGATTAGAATCATCAACAGTGCAGGTTAAAGTCAGTTGATTACCTTGTATTATTTTATAAGGACTGGTTGATGGTTCTACATGTACTGTTGGTCGATCTGTAATAGTTTTAATATATAGTAAAAACACGAAAGGAGTAATAGATAAGCAAAACATATTGAAAGTAAACTCCTAACATTCGAGAACAAGTAACTCTATAAACTTACATTCCGTGACCAATACAAATAGATGTTGATGGAATTCCCTGTCAAACTTTAATCTCAATATATCAGATTTTAATCATGCAAATCTACAGAAGGTCTCCAAAACACATTGCATTCAGTGTCTTCGAAAATGAACTATAGATGTCATAAATGAGTATGCCTGATCAGTGGATTCATATAAAATATCTCGCCTTCTGTTTTTTATTTTAGCGAATGACGGAAAACAAGGAAATAGTGCACTGCCCAGACATCCACAAAACGTGGGGTTGATCTAACGAACCCTCCATACAACTCTTTATTCACGTGTTCAATGCGGAGACAATTATTGTGATCGGTCATTTATTGTATTAATTAACACCTGCTGTAGTATATGAACATGAAAGAACTTACTATTTGTAAGTTTGTAAAATCACAAGGTGGCTGAGGGGGCAGAAGGCCTGTCATTGAGTCAAGTGTGACAAGGGGTAGGGGTAGGGTCGGTTTCCTCTTAGTGATAAATACCTCTGAGCACAAGGGAATTAGTGTACGTTAACCCCCAACCACCCACCCACCCCACCCCACCCCCCACCCCCCTCTCTCTCTCCACTAAGATCACCATTATGCTATACTAGATTCATGACGGCACCCGAAAGATAATCTGGTTTACTGATTTCCTGATTCAAGCCTGTCTGACATCCTACAAGGTAATTTGATAACATTAGATCTCGCGACCGTTTGATACGCTTAATATAATGTACCGTATTTAATGATTATAGATAATGAAAATTAAAATGCAAAAATTCATAAAACTTCATCGTCTACGTTCAGTATTGTTTCTAAAATTAATATATTTTTTTATAAAACCGTACATCTTATATAATCTGTATTCGCGGTACCAAACGTTTGATCATATATAATACTATTACTTACATCTTATATATAATTATAACTTACATCTTATATATTATTATAACTTACATCTGATATATTATTATAACTTACATCTTATATATTATCATAACTTACATCTTATATATTATTATATCTACATCTTATATATTATTATAACTTACATCTTATATATTATTATAACTTACATCTTATATATTATTATAACTTACATCTTATATATTATTATAACTTACATCTAATATATTATTATAACTTACATCTTATATATTATTATAACTTACATCTTATATATTATTATAACTTACGTCTTATATATTATTATAACTTACATCTTATATATTATTATAACTTACATCTTATATATTATTATAACTTACATCTTATATATTATTATAACTTACATCTTATATATTATTATAACTTACATCTTATATATTATTATAACTTACGTCTTATATATTATTATAACTTACATCTTATATATTATTATAACTTACATTTTATATATTATAACTTACATTTGATATCAAGTGTGATATAGTCTGAATTAGCCGAACCACAATTATTGGTAGCTAAACAGTAGAGTTTTTTAGTGTTCTGCTGTTTGGTGCTATTGAATTGTAAGAAACTAGCTGTTGAACCATCTATAATACCAGTAGTCTGTCCTGATAATGTATTATCTGTAGAATCTGTATACCAGGCGAATGTAACTGTTGAATCTACCGTTCCTGTATAGCATGTTATATTTGTTACCATGCCATCAGTAAATAATAATCCACTTTTATCTTTGATTGTACTTGATGTTGGAGCTGAAATAATCATAAAATAAACTCAAATGAAATATGTGATGCTTGTGTTGAAATAATGATAAAAGAAAATAACACCACTATACTGGTGCGGTAATGTATTATCTATAGAATCTATGTATCACGTGAATGAAACGTTTAAATCTGTGGTTCCTGTAGAAATAATCTATCTTTGTTTTTGATTGTACATGATGCTGTGACTGAAATAAAATAAAAAGTTACGATGTAGACACCCCACCCCCATAACACACTGTACTACTTACACGTAGAAAGAACCCCACGACATAGTATGCGACTTCCTTTCATTTTGATCAATATAATAATAATAAACATAAACATGAATTCTCGCTCACTTTTAATCTTTAAATTTGTACTTCCCATTTCACCACTGACTCCACGCGTACATTTCCATTCTCCACCATCTCTTATCATGGATGTATTTCTGATATATATAATACTTATACCAGTATCAGTATTGTAATCAAAGGTTATATTATAACCAGATCGCTTTTCACATGTGGTTGTACAAGATGAAATCAACACATTATTTAGTTTCCATTCAATAGTCTGTGGTGGTTTTACAATACATGTTAATGTAACTGACCTTCCCTCACATACATCAGACTGATCTATATCTACAGTAACCTCACCTATAAATATAAACATAGTTACACATAATAATAGAACATGTTACAGTAACTGATGTCCCTCACATACATCAGACTGATCTATATCTACAGTAACCTCACCTAGAAATATAAACATGGTTAAAGATAGAACTTGTTACAGTAACTGATGTTCCTTCACATACATCAGACTAATCTATATTTACAGTAACCTCATCTAGGTTTGGATTGTTCGTACTTGGTTTTATTTTATTAGAACAGCTAAACATAGAACACGGTAAAGATGTAGTCAAATAAAGAAAACGAACACGTATAAATTGATCTTAATCTTTGAATGGCATTTAGCGATCGGGAAGCAAATTAACAGAACACAGTTTTTATTGGATACAATCACTAGTTTTATTCTAAATGCACAACGTTTCAACAAGTATCCTCTTATCGTCATGATGCACAATGATATTTAGTGTATGTGTGTGTGAAATAGCTTTATTTAACGTCCGCTTCCACCGAGGTGATATCGCAGACATTTAGTAAACTTGGGGTCAATATATACGAAATTCATATAGTGAAACCATCAACATGGATTAAAATAACAGCAACAAAAAGAAGCTAAGAGGTAAGGGATATTTAACAAAAACAACAAGCACAACAAGGTAATTAGCTGACTGCATAAACTCTAATACATAAGTAGGGGGTTTTTGACTAGTATGATTGGGTGAGTATCATCGATTGGGTGAGGCGGTGGTAGTCCAGACAGCAGCCGAGAGGAATCCGCGGTCTTCATAGTCAAAATTATTCTCGGTCACCCAGAACCTCCTAGTCTTCAACCTACGGAGAGAGTCTGGGACCGTTGTAAAATATTTGACGAAAAGTCCATTGCCAATGGGTAACCGGGAGTTTGGTTTTCAATGTGGTTGATTATCCAGTATCTTTTTCTGGGTAGGTCTTCATGATTTGGGGCGCCATTATTTGAAAGGCAGTCATTTTGCGATAATATTCCAACTTATATTTTGTTTTCAGATTTTGTCCATCACTTCATGAAGATATTTCCAAGCTGGCGACCATTTTTGGCGGGAAAATCGGACGATGTGCTGATTTTCATTACGTAGTAGTGTTTGGTGTCAATATATATGTTTTCGGGGTCGCAGATTCCATTCCTGGCATTTGCATCTTTGTAAGATGACCACATGTTCAAATACTTAGCATATTTCCAAGATGGCGGCCATTTTAAGCAGGGAAAGGAGACGATATGCAGATTTTCATTAAGTAGTAGGGTTTGGTGTCAATATATATGTATATGGGGGGCGCAGAATCCATTCCTGACATTTACAACGTTGAAAGATGATGACATGTTCACATATTTATCATATTTCCAATATTGCTGCCACTTGTGGCGTGAAAATCGGACGATGTGCTGATTACAATTAAGTAGTTGTCTTCAGTGTCAATATATATGTTTTCGCGGGCGCAAATTTGATTTCTGCCATATACAACTGCGTAAAATGATCGTATGTTCACCATTTTAGCATATTTCCAAGATGGCGGAACGTTTTCTAAACACATTATTATCATTGGGCTGATAGGGATTGAAGACAAAGAGAGCGTAACGGCGGCGTTGGGCTTGCGCCAATAAACGTGGCAAGAAATTGACACGCATCCATCATGCTTCTGCCACGACTAACCAAGCGCTTGCTACATCGCGCCGAGCACGCTCCAGTCAAGATTTTACTACCCTCATGGGCTCTAGCTACGCGCAATGTGTTCCCACCATGAACTCGTCGTTAGCAGTCAGATCGGGTTACGTTCTCACCGCACTCCCGGGACGTGCCTACCAGAAGTAAGACGCTCTCTCGCCACGCCTATAACGTCCTCATTAACTTTCAAAGCAATCAAGAACAATTTTAAGTTCTGTTGATGTTTCCTAAGAATCCCCCAAATCATAGATTTTGTTATCAACCGACTTCCAAGCTGATTGTGGAACGAGCATGTGGCCGGCTACTTTGACATCACTACCACCAGTTATTTCAATAGTCATGACAGAGATGTCATAAATGACGGATAACGTCCTCATTTAAGTGGTGATATAGTTTGTTTTTTCCAACGCAAGAGCATTCCTCTCAATAACTTCTTCCACGCGCAGCTAGGGGTCAGTTGATAATATAATCTATGTTTTGTTGTTAATTCATTAATTTATAATTAATCTTTTAATTCTCATATTTTTAACCATCGTTCATTTTGTATCTATAACTGACAGACAACATAAACTGAAAGTCTACATCGCGATCGACCAAGTAAATGTGCTATTTTCCTGGAATGAGGAATTTTCATTGTTGGATAATATACGTAATAGGTAAAACACACCACTGCTTCCAGGAACATGCTACAAGCTTATACATAGCAGGTGAACTTATGAACATTTTGCACAGTTATTACTCGCCAAAATGGAATCTGTGCACATGAAAAGATATATATTAACACCAAAGACAACTACTTAATCAATATCAGCACATCGTCCTATTTTCCCACCAAAAATGACTGTTTCTTGGCTATTTGCAAAATAGTTGAATATGTGATCATTTTACACATTTGTAACCGTTATTAGAAATGGAATCTGTGCTCCTGAAAACATGTTTTGACATCAAACACTACTAGCACATCGTCCCATTTGCCCGCCGAAAATGGTCG